TTCCGAGCAGACTTTCTGGAGTGCTCTAAGAAGATAGCCAGTCCAGATTTGCCCATGCCTTGAATGTCCTGAAGCGCCGCAACATTATCACATTGGAGTGTCGCCTGAGACTTCCCTTCGTCCCAGCCCTTCATAATGTGCCTCAAATCTCGAGGCAAAACGTACTCAGCCTTCCCGTTGACTTCACTATCTGGAAGGTCTTTCCCATCGGTAGTAGGGGAAATTTGTTTCCTTAGCTCATCAACTGACCCTAAGTCTTCAATCCCGAACTTGGACAACAAAGATTCGACCGTGCCGAACATCCATTCGTCCGCTCTAATGAAAACCTCTAGACGGTCTTCGTAGTATTTGTTATGGTCAAATGAGACTTCATCAGCTTGTAATGAAGCCTCTGCATGTGATTCTCGTAGACGAGTCCTTCTGCTCTTAGATCGAACGCTTTCTGTCTGATCCTCGGCGACGGCTGACGCAGAAGATCGCTTTCGTGCCCCGTTGGTCGATGATTTAGGGTCTGGATCGTCGGCATTTAGAGTTTCCTGTTGATTAGCTATCTCAGGAGATTGTGACGTCTGGATCTCCAACGATTCTATAAGTTGCTTTTCAGCCCGTTGATCAATAGATGAGTGGTCATCGGCGTGTTCTGCAGTTGAGTCCAGCGGTTCATGCTTCACAGATTGCTGAACGTCCATGTTGTTGTTATCTTCCCCCGACATGTGGATAACTGGCTTCTGGTCATTTTGAGCCTCTTCATCCTGTGCCCTTGATGACTGGTCGTGAACTTGTGTTTCCTTGGCAGCCGTAGCTTTCAGTTCAGGGCTAAGAGCTGGTGTTGAGACGCTGATTGCAGTACCAGGGCCTATATCAATGGCGCCCTGGTCTTCATCCGTTAATGCTTGGAGGATGGTCTTGCCAAGATCGGCCCATGTTGGTGAAAGAGGCTTTAGATCATATCGTGCGGTGCTTAAAGCTAGGGGGCTTTTCGACGGAAGGACATCCTGAAGGTTGTCTGGTAATCCAGGCAGATACGGGTAAGGGTCACTCTGGCGCTTGAGAAATTTGAGAAGGGCTTTCTTGGGTTTCTTAATCGGGACTTGGCAAACCGATATTCTATCTTGCAGTGCCAGCAACGTTTCCCGTAGACGCTCTTCCGCGAAAGTTTCCTCTAAGCCTAGCTGTTCTGTTCGGACCTCCAGGCGATTTTCATCATCTGCCAGGACACTTTCCAAGCAGTAGCGGGTTAACCGATAGCTTTGTAGAGTACTGCAGAGCCTGGCGCTTTGTCTCCAAAGGTTAAGGTCTGTATCATCGCGCTCCAGGGCTTCAGCGAAAGATATCAGGGCAGTGCTCGCACGTTCAGCAATTTCTGCCGAGAGACTTTGAGTGTCGTCTGACGCTTGGACAGCATTTTCTATAATCGCGCGCAAAGAATCTAGTATGAACTGCCCATGGTTTTTATACGCAAGATAGATGGTCTGCAGCAAAGTACTGGATGTGGAATCATTGATATCGTAATCTCCTAGCGGTTCACCACCGTCTGCATTACCAACATAGTCGGACGTCTCAGCCAATTCAAGCTCAGTAGCAGCTCTTTTGTAGTCGGAGAGAGACTCCGGGTACTTGAATATTTCCGAACTAAGAAGAGCATCATATGCTTCAGCAGCTTGGTCGTAGAAGTGGGGACCCTGTGAGTGAAGTTTCAGAGCATTTTGGTATAGCTTGAGAGCTTCCTCAATTTGGATTTCCTTGGTATCATCAACCTCTTCTTCTACCGCCTCAGCGGGCTCGATGTTCAATGCCACCCAGCTCGACATGTTGCAGTTTATTCGGGATGCAGAGAGATTCCAGACATCGGTAACAATATCGACGTGACAGACAGCATCTCCCGAAAAGGGAAGCCAGTCCGTATAGTTGATGAAGCTAAACCGTGGCGAGGAAAGGGTAAAGCAGAACGGAATCCAAGCTGTCAGGGTCTAGCCCGTGACTGGGGACACGCATTTCACGCGTTCCGACATTGAATTACCAAAAGGGGAATAGACCCGGTGCCTGAGGACCCAGCCCGTCCGCCCCCCAGGCACTTGATCAACTGAGGTGACGACGACTTGTTTGTTCCTGCGCCATCTATCTTTCGAGCACGGTTGATGAGTCCGTTCTAGTACTTAGTTCTTTCTGCTTCTTCTCTTGATTTAAGTTCGGCCTGCGCTTCTCCATGCGCCATGGTTGCGCCAGCTGTCCCCGAGTATGCAATTCCCCTCACTTGACGTGTTCCTGAGACCTGTTATTATCAAGTGCACTCGGGCCACCATTGACCTCTGCGCTGACCTTTAAAATCGTTATCAGACTCTATGAAGAGGAAGACCTCTTCGCCGCTGTCGATGCACGTACCGAATCACTACAGAACTTGCGGGAATTAGGTCCGCCCGACCTGGTGTATTTGGTCAAACAACCTAAAACCAACTCAACCCACCAGGTGCGTTTCTGGGAGCCTCCGGTCGCTCATTCAAGGAACGCCTTTCTCGGAGGTTGAATGATGATAGTTACTAACGGAATAACGATTACCACAGACCGGAGTCTATCACCATGTCACTGGCATTGATGCTTCTTCGTCCGCTAGCTTGGCCGCCTATGTAAATACGCTAACCTTCTCCCCCCTCGATAAGACGCACAAAGTGGTTTCAGGGATATACTGGTCAGGGCGCTTGCCAAAAGAAACTTTCGTGCAGTTAGAAGGGTTAACATATTTGCAGTTGCTACAATGCCTTCTCCCACCTTGACATGCGTGTTGAAGTCAAAATTCCTGGTAGTCTCGAGAGCTACTGCATCGACGAGCGCGGGGATAAACGTGTTGCAACTGAAGCCCTGTGGCTAGAAACATTTCTGTGCGGAGTCCTGCGAGCCTATACCTATGCGGACGATGGTAGTGGAGATTCGATTCGGAAGATCGTCGGAGTGCGTCGATTCAACCCAGTCACAAATACAGAGATGGAGCATAAGTTCATGGATGCTGCGGAACGGCTTTTCTTCTTGGGTAGGCAGCTGAGCTCCGATCCTGAGACGCAAGTTCCCAACACTGTCAGCAATCATCTTACTTCGGGCCTTTTGAAATACATTCGCACGACCGGACGCTACACATCTGGCATAAATCTTCTAGAGAAGCTCCGCATACGGGATGTGGAGATCTCTTCCCTGCTAGCCCGGGTTCTCATAATGGCAGATGAGGAGGTGCAGGCAGTACGGTTGATGTACGACTCACTGCAAGACGTCCCCATGGACTATGCATTGCTCGACTGCCAGGCAGCCTTCTGTCAGAGTAAGGGAGAGGGCGAAATGGCTTTGGAATGCGCGAAGCGGGCCGTGACTGCTGCGCCTAGCGAATTCAGCACTTGGGCACGACTGGCCGAAGTGTATGTGAACTTGGAACAATGGGACCTTGCACTTCTTACATTGAATTCATGCCCGATGTTTACGTACCAAGATAAGGACACCCCTCGCATGCCCCAACCGTCACGCATCATGCTTCCTATTCTCGCAGAGAGCATGTTGGATGAGATTGACGAGGGCCAGCCAAAGCAGGGCGACCCACACGACTATGTCCATCCTTCTCTACGAAGACTGCACGCTGCCGCATACCAGGGGACATTCCTGAAAGCATATAACATCTTAACCAAGATTGCTGCCGCGATTGGCTGGGATCAGCTTTTGAAGATCCGCAGTGAAGTGTTTGTTATGGAAGAGGAGTATCGCGTCGAAAGGCAGCATTCAACTTCGAAGTCTATACGGCGCAGCAGTTCTATAGTGACCAATGGTAACGAAGAACAACAAAATGGCACCAATGCTAAGGAAGAGGGTGAAAACCCGGAAGCGACCAGCAGCGGAAGGAAAGAGGAACAAGCTGGAGACTCCATCGAGAAGCCAGAACAGACAATGGCCTCTGAAGTCGTGAAGTCTGGCAAGGAAGAAGTAAGCTACAAACGCCCCCTATCCGCAGCATGTGCATCTTATACTAATCGCCACAGCCCGATCCGTCGCATTCATCATACGCACAGTTCCGCAACAAGCGCCTCTGTGAGAGGTGGCTCGACAATCTCTTCATGGTTCTCTATGAGGATCTTCGCATTTACACCATCTGGCGCACAGAGATGGCACAGTACCGTCAGCAGGCCATTGAATACAAGAAGTCCGCGACGGAATGGGAAATCCTAGGCGAATTAGCAGAGCGACTGCATCATTTCGAGGAGGCAATCGAGGCTTATGAACACTGCATGGCCATCCGGTTCTCTCCCAAGGCCATGCGAGGCATTCTGAAGTTGTACGAGAGTAAGCACGATACAAGAGGGATGCTCGGCGCATTGATTAGACTCATTGCCTGGCAGTACCGCTGGTACTCTGAGGTATGTTTTGCTCTTAACCACACTCCTCCAAGACCACCAACTAACCAAACACTAGTTCTCTCCTGAACTACTTTATCTTATCCGCAAACTCATCGAGGACGAAGGTGCCGTCAAGGTGCGCAGCATTGTCCAGGCGACCAATCTGCCACAGCCCGTACTTGACCTCACCCATCAATATTGCCAACTGTGCGCCACTTTCCGTAGCAGCGGCAGCGATGGCTAAATGTAGCCCCGTAAATCTCCGTGGCTGGGAGATAGTCACCCACTAGCAATGAAGTCTTTAGCAGCGGAATTATATCTTACGCGTCCAGGCAAGGCATCGTTGGTGGACGATTATTGATCATTTTATCTACCATTTATTATGGCTTCCCACTTATGTGCCCATTTACCCCTTTTCTTCTGTGTCTTTATTTTATCATTCATTTCCCTTACGCCGGACATCCTGTTTCAACAATTAATTCCCATAGAACCAATTTATGCTGTATGACATTCCCTTTCCAGTGCCTTTTAAGTCGCCCGCTTTGATAATTGCTAGCCTTATGTGGGCTATCCCGAATCATCACAGGTGACGAGCGACAAAAGCTTGTATTATGGAAACTTAGTCGAATCTTACGTTCTATTTCCCTTGGTTCACCAATGGAGCAAGTCCTTCCATTGAGCACATTCGGAACCTTCGGAGATCAAGTTGTCGATCATTTACTTCCATTACACATAGTATGGAGATATCAGAGAGCGCATCTCTTAATAAAGGGATAGCCAGCTTGACTGACCAATTCATTGAATAAAGATAAGCTAGCCAAAAGAGTACCTAGATTCCAATTACAGCCTGAACCAAATTATTTGATGTAAAGATTACAGCGCCCCCAAATCATCTTGGCAACACAGGCCCGATAGACATTCACTTATTCTCCTCTTCGACCACAGTGTCGACTTCAGGTTCCTTCGGAACAGTCTCTCCCTTAGCCTTGGCTGCAGAGGCAGCAGGGGCACTGGTTTTGGCTGTCTCCTCGGGCGCTTCCTCTTCTCCCTCATCTTCTTCCTCTTCCTCTTCCTCTTCGTCGTCCTCTCCGACTCCGTTTTCACCGGCATCTTTACCATTTTCTTTTACTTCTTCCTCTCCTTCTTCTTCTTCATCATCAGCTGGGGCGGCTGCTGTCTTGCGTTTCTTGGTGGCCGGGGGGCCTAAAGACACTTCATATCAGCTTGTGTTTTCAGGGAAATGGGTATGTCTAGGTGAAGGTCCGAAGAGATAGAGTAATCGAAAGAAATAGAGAACAACCAAGCGCTTACCTTGCTCTTCAGCGGGCTCTTCTTCTTCTTCCTCTTCTTCTTCATCAGAAGGAACCTCCTCTTCACTTCCTTCTTCGTCCCCTTCGCTTTCGCCTACTTCAGAGTCCTCATACCTGTTAATTACCAACGTTAGTCGACACATCATCTCTCAATGCAGGGATAACTATGATGAGAAAAAGAGGAATCTCAGGCAACAAGATTAATGCGCCAACCCAGACAGTACAGTGAATAGAAATTAAAAATCGAAGAGATGATAGATATCCATGACGCGCACCAAAAGCAACCAAGACTTGAATGATGACAGGGTGATAAGGATGGTGAGAAAGGGCGTTGATGGACGCGCGGATGCGCATAGATGAAGGGAGACAAAATCGCAATACAAACTTACTCTTCTTCCTCTTCGCTCTCGTCGCTAGGGAGCGCGTGGAGCTCTTCCTCTTCTTCGGCTTCTTGCTTTCTCTTACGGGTGGACATGATGGTCTTGGGAGCTAAGTAGAGTGGAAATGGATAGAAGGAGATGAATGCGATTTTGTGATACGAGGCCAGGTCAATGGCGCGTGCCTATCTTGACCTGATGCGCTGTGATAGTAGAATGGAAATAAGGTAGCAATAAGGGGAGGATGATAGATAGGAGAGAGGGAGAGAAAGGAAATGGGAGGGGAGAGAGGGAGAGGACGAAATAAAAGACAGGGCAGATGGGGGGAAGGTCAAGTACTACCCACGGCAGCAGGAGGGAGATCAAAGCCTCAGTCGGCGAGGGAAGGGGGGGAAGGGGACGGAATGGGTGAGCAGTAGGACTCTTACTTCAGCGATTGGAGGAAAGGAGGGTGAGAGAAGGAGGGGGTGGAAGCAGCCAAAGCTTTCCGGTCAGCAGTAAACCTGGACCTGGGCAAAGACCCAGCAGAGTTAAAGTGAACCTGAGCGAGAGCTGCCGCATTTGTCGCAATGGGAGATTATCGGAGGACGTCGCGTTAGGCCCTCAATGATGTGCGCATAAGAGATGACCCCCTTGTGACAATGCTTGAGCTGATCTGGTGTTTTGAAACAGGATGGGACCTTGTTCCTGTGGTGGAGTCTGCATCTCATCGGACCCCTGCAGTTCCAGGGACCCCCGGGCTTTGTTAGCGAACTGAGGAGCCAAGAAGAATCTGGAGTAATACGGAGTTAGTCTGTTGCAAAAGTGACGGTAAGATGACAGGTCGATTGAAGGGAAAAGTGAGGAGTGTTTGGTAGTGCGGTACAGTAACCACGTCCACCTATTCCTCGGTAAACATATTACAGGTACTCCGTACTGAGTGTGCTCAGAGCATCTAACCCGTGGCAATATTGTCGCATTAGTCGCAATAGCAACCACCATGATGTCAAGAATTGAATTTCCTCTTATTCTCAAAATAGACTAACCCCAACATGGCACCTCCGGGGCTAGTCCCATTCAGGCACAGTGTCTGGTGCACGGATGAACTTGATACTATTTCTGAATTCCCCCGGATGATTCGCGCATCAACAAATAAACACACTGCACAGACCATCCTAGTCCTAACTAAGCATAATACGGACAATTAACTACGTAGCGAGAATCACGTCTAGCAGAAGTATATACGGATACATTACTATATAGGTATGTACGTCTCCCTTTACCCAGGGTATCACTATCCACAAACTACTCTATCAGTGCGCCAAAAACTCAAAGTTGGCCATGCTTGGGTCCAGCAAATTTTCATCCAGTCCAAATCCGTATGTGCCCACCATGTCATAGATCAGGTCTGGCGGTGGAAATCCTTGTGCCATGGCATTTGCGCCGCCTGGAACTTCGCTACTACTTCGCTCCGCCGGTCCTCCAGCTGGCGGTCCACCTTGCCACGCCGTCTCCCAAGAATCAAAGCGATCCAGCATCTTTCCCAAGCCCCGCGCAATATGCCTCGTCAGATGCCTCTCCCCTGCAGAAACGCAGTTCAACAGTTCGATGACGCGTTCCACTAACCGCCGCACCTCACGTCCATCTAGGCTCAGATAGGCCGAATTCCAGTTGACCGCGACCTTCAAAAGAAAAACTGCTGAAAAGGTGACCATCGTATGCGTAAAGATTGGAACACCCACTATGGCGTCCCGAATGTCCGGCTCTTCGAGCACCATATTTAGGCAGGCCATGGCGGACGAGATAGCGATATTAGCGGACTCTTTGCGGTCCATGGAGAAGACAGGTGTGTTGGACGGCGACAGGGCACGAAGGGAGAGTGAGTTTAACTGAAATTTTGCAAAATGGTAGTGTAGCACAACTCCCTTCGAAGGGTACGTCCGCACGTAAGGGCTATCGGCTAAAAGACAAATTGTGGTCAGATATTGGCGTCTCGGTGGTGGGAGTTTAACATGGCTTACCTGATCGCGGCTGCCAAAGAAGTCGCCATTGATCAACCGCCACATTGTAGACTCGTAATTGACCGAAGTCCTCCTCTATAAGGGCCTGCTCAGTGTCGCTCCCAAACATGCGATAGGCCTCTGTCAGGATCATGAACAAAGCCACCTGTGCCAGCAGTCGGATATCGCCAGGTACAACCATGGGAGACTGCAGAAAGGTTTCGTAGTTCTTGATGGCTGCATCTTCGTGTATGACCGGAGGTCGGCCATATGCAATACTGAAATGATGATCGCAGACATAGAGTAAATACCAGAGCTGTGCGCGCTCGTACTGGTCACTATGGCCCCGGATCATTTTTTGATAGCTCTGATGCAAACCAAGCTCCGTGGCAATACGAACAGCATGTCCAGAAAGCTTCCAGCTCAATTCTGATAGCCAAAACGCTCCGACGCAAAGACCACGGACATCATCTAGCGTGTGAGCCCGCGTCAGGGACATGCTGGATACAAGAGAAACATATTCATGGTAGCATCGGTTTAAAGTTTCAGTACGATTGGGGATATGAAGTGCAGCGACGGTGAGAACTGCCGCAGACAACAACGTCGATGCTCGTCGCACTGAGGTGAGGTCCCGATGCACCAAGATGATCCCTCCCCAGAGCAGCTGATTCATTGTCCGGCTAAAATATGCAAACAGCTCTTCAGCCTCATGAACAGAGAGGACTCCCCGTGAAATGAAGTCCTCCTCTAGCAGGGTTAACTTAGGTTGTTCGATAAGATTGCTCCGTAAGTTACGCAGTTTAGTAACTTCGTAGAGACTACGCATTGGTGCCGGCACCAATTCTCGGTCTTGTAGGTCTGGCTCTTGAGATGGCTCCCGAGTTACGTCCATAATGACACCCAGACCGTGTTGACTCGTGTGATTAGAGATCGACTGCGATCCATCGAGCGAGGGTCTATGTTCATGATGGGACGCGACTGGGCTTGGACCACTTTGCGCATCGCCTGTTGGATATGATGAAAGCTCAGGTAAGCCATCATGGCGAAGAAGATGCGAAACCGCTGCCTGAAGCTGTTGGATGGTGGATGCGGCCTGTGATTTCCATCTGTCGCAGAGATAAGAACAGGAACTTGGCAATACATCGCTTTCTAGGCGCGAATCTAACTCACATGCCATCATCGTCAACAAACTTTTGCGAGAAATCATTGACGATGCATTTCAGTCCGCTGCGTATGCACTTGTTGCAGCTTGTTTCCCCCGATTTGAACTCGCAGCGTATCTTGTGCCGTTTGCACTCCGCACCTGCAATCCATTGTGTCTTAGTATAAATCCCCTCTCCCTGGGCCTCAAGCGACTTTTCCGCTTTATCTCATTATAGATCGTCTCTTCGGTGGTTCAACGGGAACACTCACAGGCGCGGGCTTTGGAGATCTTCGGTGGTGGAGGTCGTCCGTCAGGGACGGTCGAGGGATGACGATCATCTCGTCGGGGCGACACCAGGCCCGCATCAGAGGACGAGCGCTTCATAGCTAATAAATGGTGAATTGATAGTTGTGACTAAGAGTGAATAGGACTGGTCGGGGATGCTCCGGCATTATGCAGTCGGCATGCGACGCGACTGAGATGGGCGGGGAATGAGCGATTATGCTAATTATAGTAGGGTGAAATCGTCGCTAATCGTATATTCATGACTCAATTGGATGTTCGAATGAAATACATCTAGAAATTGGAGCAAAATACTCCGTGGAGTTCAAAAACAGATTCCCCTGAAGATAGGAAAAGGAGGAAAAGTGGTGTGACTAGGTCCTCCCGTGGGAGAAAGCGAGGTAAAGATACCCCGCTTCAACGTGTGCGCGCGGGGACATTCGATCTAATCTCCCATTGCTTCTCATTTTCATTCTTATCGGATATGACGATATTCTTTTTGGTATATTCACCAGCAAGTTTCCCGAGACCTGTATTGACTTTCAATGCGCCTCGGAAATTATGATTCTACAATCTTTTATAGCCAAGGATACAGAGTTTCCGTATGGGGGCAGCTAAATCTGGGGAAACTCCGGGGAAAGGAACCGTTAAGTTAAGACTGCCAGCTGTTAAATACTACTCAAGAGAACGATCAATAGGGTAGATTTTTTAGGTGGGAATTATTGGGACCACTTTTTTTTTTTGATAAATTATCATTATTAATATTTCTTTTTCTCCATCCCTCACTTAGGTTATTGCTGCTCTGCATGCCCGGGTGATTTGGTTACACTGTATGCGCACGAGCGCAAAGCTACGCAAATTCGCAACTTTGGAGCTCTAATACTTAAACTAACTGCACATCAAAATCATAGCAAAAAGGTATCAATTTGTGCAATCCCTAGAATTCCATCCATATTGCGGCCTTTAACAGCCCGGCACAAGTCCGGCTGTGGAGAGAGCTGTTCCTGAACCTCGGACTTGATGCGACTGCGGAGGCCAGTCCGAACCCCACCGAAGATGAATGATGATATTGTCCTATATTAACCAACTCGCTCGAGCCTGGGTAGAAAGAATTCGTTTTATATTCTCTCAAGGGGGGGGTTTTTTTAACAGATCAGCACCATGCATATCCTTATCACCGGCGCTGCAGGTTTCATCGGTCAATTGCTCGCAAAAGAGCTCCTAAACGACCCTTCTCATCAAGTTACATTGACTGATATCAACGAGCCACCCATTCCGAAGGACGTCAAATACCCCCAGAATGCGCGCAGTATCACCTCAGACCTCCTCAAAGGTGCACATGCAGTCGTAAACAAGTCCCTAGACGTTGTCTATGCTTTCCACGGTATCATGTCGTCCGGCTCCGAAGCCAACTTTGATCTTGGCATGAGCGTCAACGTTGACGCCACTCGTGTCCTACTGGAAGCTCTCCGCAAAACCTGTCCCGGTGTCCGGGTGATATACTCTTCCAGCCAGGCTGTCTACGGCCAGCCTCTTCCTGAGGTGGTGGACGACAGCATCATTCCTAACCCCCAGTCATCCTACGGTGCAGAGAAGATCATCTGTGAGACGCTCATCAACGAATACACAAGACGTGGGTTCATCACTGGTTTCACCCTTCGCTTCCCAACAATATCTGTTCGACCTGGTCGTCCCACGGCTGCGGCCTCTTCGTTCCTCTCCGGAATGATCCGGGAGCCTTTGAACGGAGAGGAGTGCATCATTCCGCTTGAGGACCGATCGTTCAAATCCTGGCTTTGCTCCCCACGCACTCTCGTCTACAACTTAGTTCTCATGCTCTCACTACCAGCTGATTCAGTTCCTCCCCATATTCGACAGATCAATGTGCCGGGGATCTGCGTTACTATTCAGGAGATGATGGATGCTCTGGCAAAAGTGGGAGGAGAGGACAAACTTACGTTATTGAGAGAGAAGGAGGATCCCAGTCTCAGGCCAATCCTAGAGTCATGGCCCACGCGATTCGACAACAAGCAAGCCATCTCATTGGGCTTTAAGCGCGACTCGTCGTTCGAACAAGCAATTAGGGATTACCAGCTGGAAACAACCCCGTCGTGAAAGCTTCTCGCGGAGGATGTTAAATTTGATCCGAAGTTCATGACATTTTACCCGAGGCAGTACACTTGCTATAGAACATAATTAGAACAATGCAACAAGTACCATGTTCATATTCCCCATGTATCCACAAAGTCGCAGGGCAATTATAGTCGAAGCCCTTCAACCCAATGGCTCTTCGATCACTTCCAGACCTGAGATCATCTTAGCATGTATTCCATAGTGATCAATAGCTTTCCCAAACCTGTCCATCGATCGCCACCAAGCGATTGAATAACTGGTTCCTCGTCTTCATAGCAGTAAGCTGATAATGTTGCTTCTTTTCGTCCTTCCCAACAACCTCCAATCCATCAACCACCTCTTTACTTCCCACCGCCCACCCAGCAGCTAACTTCCCCTTCCATCCAAATCCCCCAATCTTCCGCAGCTCCCTAATATCAGTTACAGGCATACTGAAGGATACAGTTCCCTTTTCCCTACTCTCAAGCCTCTGGTCACCCGACAGGGCACTAGGATCCGTCGTGAAATACATCACCGGTGGATTAAGTGCCGAGTCGATTACCACAGCTCCTCGGTTGCCCTTGTACCGAGCGTCAAACTGGACCGGTCCTGAAGGTAACGCCCTTTTGCCTTTCTTGCTCAGAATTCCAAGTCGGGATTTAGCATGCTCCGATCCTGCAGCTGCCCGGACCCGGTCGACTGCAAGTTTGCTTTCAATGCCCGTTGCGGTTGTTCCTCGGAAAAAGCCGACGATGCGGGAACCTATTGTTTTCTTGGGCTTGTTTGCTTGGGATTTTTCCTCTTCCTCCTGTACTTGTGCTACGGGGTCTGGTGCGGTTGCTTGTGCAATCTCTTCTTCCGACGCATCCAAGTTCACTTGGCTGGGGTTAAGTGATGTAGGGTGAGAAGGCACTTTATCTAGTGAGTCTGCAGGTGGTGGTGGTAAGGGGGCAGCATTTTTTTCGCCAATGCGGAGGAGGGTTAAAGTTAGTTGAGCGTTTGTAGGGATTCCTTTTAGGAGGGAGCTGGTGGGGTAATCAGCAAAAAGTGATGGTTAGGTTAGCTTTAGGAGGAACTTACTTTTGCAATTCAAGGAGCTTGATCCAGCCTGGGTATTTGCGATTCAAGTACGCAGTAAGACGAGCAAAAACGGGGTCTCCGAAGAAACCAAACCCTACTATGAAAGTACCCATCTTGACAAATACGTAGCTTGAGGTAATAAATGACCCGAATAGCCCAAGAGATAAAATGCTCGCTAAGCGGACATATGGGGTTGTAGACGAAAATGGTGGGGTTGGTGACAGGGCACTATCATTTCCACGTTAGAGATATAGTCCACTCAACTTTTAGAGTGGACTAGACTTACTTCCCGAGCTTCTCATAGATATCAATGATATCACTCAGTATACGCATGCCCAGGTTTGCGCCGTTGAGGACTGTCTCCTTCATGGGCTCCCTTGTCTTATCGTGAGTACTGTCTGGTACTCCCCCGTGTGCTGCTGTTTGCGCATCTGCTGCTTCCGAGACAGTATGCATGGCATCGGGAACTGAGTCCTCCATGGGAGCACCTTCAGGTGCCCCCTGGTCATGTTTACCAGCAACACTTCCCACTGCCACAGTGGCTGCGCTTGTGATTAAGTTACTGGCCTCTTGTTCAGCAGCTTCGCCTTTCATTTTCTCCGGTGCGCCGGTGACACTATCGTGAGAGCCTAGTACACCAGCTTTGGGCTTCTGTACACCTCCGGTATTGCTATCAACGAGAGCGATAGGCGCAGGTGGGAACAGCCATGTCCTGCATGGAGGGTAAACGACCAGTGTAATTAAAAAACAGAATATTGTCGGCGCTAGGAAATCCAGGAGCCATGCAAGGAAATATACCTAAAAAGCCACACCGTCAGTCTTGAGGAAGCAGTCACGTACAATCTAGGTAAAATCATACTCCGCAAAACACTCCTGTCCGCCGAGGTTCCCTCCACGAACGTAGTCTGACAATATGCTTGTAAAATGCAGTCAATGACACAACAATCGTCGTATAAAAACGCTCAAGGGTCGCCCGCAATTTATCTGGGGAGAAGTGCTCATCTTCGGCACGGTTGAGATCCAGCCTTTGTAACGGAGCATCTGGCACGGCCTTCACATAGTATATTTGCTGGCCTTTGTCAGCACTGGGAATCAATTGGTATCAAATGGCATACCTTGTTGAACCGTCTGACGAGCATCCAAAGGTCCTCATTCGACAAACCTGCCACAATCCGGCCTTGAGGGGAGTACTCCCATCCCACATCTGTCATCTCGTCGGTATCGCCGGCTTTCTGGGCCAAGCCTTTCTCATTGTGATCGACTTGGGAAAGAGCATGGCTATCTGTAGGTCCAAATGCTTCCAGCTGGCCTTGTTTCTCTCTCTCTTTCAATTCAAGTTTTGAGGGGCCATTGTCCCAGCCAGCTGTAGGGGCAGGCAGGGGGTCAGTGAAACCTTGTCCTGACATATTGTATGGTGCTAACCATCAATGCCATGGAGGACCATTGTTAAAAAAGAGAAGGCAGCATGGATCCCCAGTAGAGATCTATAAAACCAATGCCGTGAGAATGACGTCATCTTTTCTGTAAAGCGTCCTCCATCTATTGAGTTCACCGTTCAGAACTTTGGAAGACTGGGTCCTGTTGCATGATACACAGTAATGATCATTTTTAATGTAGTAATTGATCCATAAGTGGAGTACTCAGTAATTCATGGCTAATCTGATGTCATGTAGTGCCCGATATATCAGGCACAGATCTAGACGAAGAGCTCGTTGCACCGCCACATAAAGCCGCTTTCAAGCCACACTTAAAGCCCAAAATGGAAATACGCGTGAAATCGGATCGCGTCGTCCTCAGTTGTCCCCAACAGACTACTGCTTCCATTTTGGGGGGGGGGAAGCATGGCAGTGTGATAGGTGTCAAAGGCAGGAGGTGCATGCATTTTTATCCTCTTCTTAACTGCCATCTCAGGTACCACTTTGGCGTAGAGAGAACCGAATCACATCTGCACCGCTTAGCGTCCAGCCAGGCCAAGGAACTATGAGCGACACATGTGCGAACCCCCTTCTCTTGGGGTGGATCAAAGAATGGCTGGACCAAGCGAAGGAACGTAACAGTAAAGGAGTGACTGTGTCAGTATAACCACGTTTCGCTTGACGAGTCCGCTGCTGATCCGCGCTGCTCAGATACAAAAGGGCCTACGAGTCGATGAAAGCATGTCCATTAGTCTTTCAACATCCGTCGGAAGCTCAGCAGCTCAATGGCCTTGGTCCTAAATTATGTGACCGATTGACCGAAAAATTAAAGGCTCACTGTGCGGAGAATGGCCTTCCAATGCCTGAGCATCCCAACAACGGTAGGTTTTCTTTTTCTAATAAACTCTCAACAGGTTTCTAATACCAGCAACTGTAGCAAACGGTAAGAGACAGTCAGGCGAAGGTGCATCAGAGAGTCAACCGGCGAAAAAGCCCCGGAAAGCAAGGCCTTATGTGCCAGCGTTACGGTCCGGACCTTACGCACTTCTACTGGGTCTGGCCACTCTCGATGAAAATTCCTCGCAGGGCTTGACAAAAGCACAGTTGATTGACAGGGCAGAGCCATATTGTGACAGCTCGTTCACGGCACCAAGTGATCCAGGCAAGTTTTTTACCGCGTGGAGCTCGATGAAAACACTCCTCCAGAAAGACCTAGTTTATGACCACGGCCATCCCTTGAAAAGGTATGCTCTTACAGAAGAAGGATGGGAGGTTACAAAGCGGATCAGCAAAACCCTTCCTGAGAACCAAAACACCCTGTGCTTTGGAAATCAACTGGTAAGAGAGCATTACAAAGACCATGTATACTAGAAGTCTGACATACTCAGGACACGCCCAGCGCCCAAGATTCCAACAAAAGTGGCCCCGAATCTCACCGTCAAGAAAGCAATGAGGACCTCGAAGCAATCCTCAACCCTCCAATAAACCAAGGAAACAACCTAGAAGATACCACAGTAACACCCATCACCCTACCCCCCGACAGCTTCACCGTCCAGCTGGTCCTGGACACCCGAGAAGTCCGAACGTCAACAGACAGAGACTACATCTCCAACGAGCTCAGCAAAAAGGGCATCAGCACACAAGTGCGCGCACTGGAACTTGGCGACGCAATGTGGGTAGCCAAATTCCACGACCCGAGGTTCCTCTCGCAGTACGGTGAAGAAGGCGACGAAGTCATGCTCGACTACATTGTCGAGCGAAAACGACTCGACGATCTCATCGGCTCGATCAAAGACGGCCGATTCCACGAACAAAAGTTCCGTCTCCGTCGGTCGGGGATGAAAAATGTTATCTACCTCATCGAGGAATTCGCCGTCACTTACGAGGCTAATAGCGCCATCGCAATGAAATACCAGGAAATGGTCGCCTCCGCTATCGCCTCAACGCAGGTCGTTAACGGCTACTTCGTCAAGAAAACGAAGAACCTGGACGATACGATTCGCTATCTGGCCCGTATGACCTTTCTTCTCCGGAAAATGTATACACAGGACGCTACCCCAGATTCACAAAGTGGACCTCCGTCTCATACCCTCAGTTTAATACCTAGTCGCCAATTGTCTTCCTCGCAATCATATCTCAATGCTCTTACTCAACTTCGAGCCGAGGACCCCTCTGTTACATACGCTGTAACCTTCCCCACATTTGCCGCCTTGGTTTCTAAATCAGAGTCTCTCTCCCTCCGTGATGTATTCCTGAAAATGCTCATGTGTACGCGTGGTGTGACGGGCGACAAGGCCCTAGAGATCCAACGTCGGTGGCCCACTCCGCAAGCCTTTATACAGGCCTTTGAGGAGTTAGATCAGAAGGGCAGGGAGACTATGGTTTCTGATCAGCTGTCGTCAGCAGTTGGGAGGAAAAAGGTGGCCAAGGTGCTTAGTAAAAAGATCGCTGAGGTATGGGGAGAAGATGGCTGATGCTTTAGATTGCGCTGCAGGTCAGGAGGTATGATAGTTTCAAAGATATTTTTATTTGCAGTATGGTGTCAGTTTGATATTTGCCTTGTAACCATCAGGCTTCTACTAAGTTGCAACTTAAGGTCGCTTGCGATTACCCCATATCACGCTATGCCTTACCAGTTCAGTGCCGATACTATGAGCTATACCTAAACAAAATCAGAGTAAATTCACGAAAGCAATAAATTAAGAAATAAAGCCTATCAAAGACCTATATGCCATAACTGGTATGAAATCATAAAGCATAGCCATCCGTAAACAAATCCTGCATCATATAGACCAACATACATCACAAAACCCACACGCCACAAAACCAGTACTAAAATGACATCGATGCATTATAACCCTATAAATAGTCGTTCATTTATCCAGACCAAGAAGTTTCTTGAGGGTCCTCTTTTCAATCCCCAAAGCAAGACTGCTGCAGACCACAGAGATGCTACTTAGAGCCATCGCCAACGCAGCCCAAACAGGGCTCAGTCGCCAGTGTTTGTCAACCATAACGGTCTCACCCCCAATTACTTTCATCTCATGGCCATTGACAATGGGGTAGAGCACCCCGGCGGCAACCGGTACAAGACAGAGGTTATAAACAACGGCCCAACCGAAGTTCATCTTGACGCGGTTAAACACCCGACGACTAAGTACAACTAGCTGGAGGATAGTGTCGAGTTCCGAGTTCAAGAGGATAAAGCTTGCCGAGTTCATGGCAACGTCCGACCCGGATGCCATGGCGATACTGACATCTGCAGCCGCGAGAGCAGGCGAGTCATTTACGCCGTCACCGACGAAGGCTACGATTGATCGCGTACCTTGCTCGTTTCTCTGGCTCTCGGCTTCTGAGTCGGTTCTTGAAGGGTATACGCCGTCTTGGACTTGACGTACGAAGTCGGCCTTCCCTGCGGGCATAATATTGGCCATGACATTAGATCGTGGGATGCCTACCATGTCGGCAACAGCATGGGCAGTGGTCGGGTTGTCTCCTGTGCACATGTATACGTCGACTTTGCGCTTTTGAAGTTGTGAGATTACTTGAGCAGCATCGGGCCGGATTGAATCGGAGATTGCGAAGATGATTGCTGGGGTGAAATGTGAATCATTTGAAGAGCCTGGGCCGACCTTACGCAATGACAAAATCGCGGTGGATCTGCCTGACGTCTGGTAGGTCGAAAGGAGCTTAGGAAGTTGGGAGTCATCGAGACGAGGTGAAGTCAAGCTTTGGAGGAGACGTTGATTTCCGATGGCTGCTTCGTACTGAGCTGTCCTGCCCAATTTGTCGGTCTTGGCCTCCAGAGACACGGTAAACCTGCCCCTCATTCCCTGGCCGGGCCTCTCTTCGATATCAGAGCTGAGTATACTAGCTGACTCCTTGCCACTACAGAAAGCTAAAACCGCATGAGCAATTGGGTGATTGCTACTTTCCTCCAGTTTTCGAGCAAGTGACCATGCTACTTGCAATTCCTCAGAGCCTGTAACGAGCAGTTTATGGTCAGACACTGTCAAACTTCCTCCTTCCGTTAGGGTACCGGTTTTATCGAATACAATAGCGTCAAGGCGACTCGCTTCTTGGAAAGCTTCCCCTCCACCTTTGACCAGTATACCATGTCGGGCAGCAAGTCCTCCACCAACAAAGAGCGCTGTAGGAGCAGCGAGCGCCAGGCCGCAGGGGCAAGCAACCACGAACACTGCGATTGCAAATTCCAGGCTCCAGAAGGCCCAGCCACCATGTGCAACATCAAGATAGTCATCTGGCAAGGTGCCAGAAACACCCAGCACAAGCCAGATGACGAATGTCAATACGGCTATAAGCGTGATTATGGGAACAAAGTGGGATGTGAGTAAGTCCGCAACCCTTTCCAAAGGAGCGCGTCTGCTCTGGCCCTCACGCACCACGGCGATAATTTGATCCAGCATCGATGTCCCTCCAACCGCAGATACCTTTATCTTTAGGGGCTGGCCGACATTCACAGATCCTGTGTAAATAGGATCACCGGCGGACTTCTTCACAGGCCGCGACTCTCCTGTCAATGAGCTTTCGTCAAACTGATAAGTGTTGGTGTCGACAACTACACCATCAGCAGGGGGTGAAGCTCCATGAGGTATGCTAACAATGTCACCGACGTCCAGCAGCTCAATATTAATCTTCTGTATCTCATCTTCTCCAGAGATAGCTCCAGCATCATTTTGCTCCGCAGCACGCTTATTGACAATCAGCAACGCCTCGGAAGGCTTCAACTTGCCAAGTGATGCAACTGCATCACCAGTTCTCGCTTTGCTGTATGCTTCGATAAATCGACCCGCCAGAATAAACAACGTAAGGAATACCACCGAGTCAAAATAAGTCGTGCTATTGCTCATTGATGAAGTTCCCACGACAGCATCAATTATGAGAACAGCCAATGAAGCGATATAGGCCACGGTGGTTCCGGCAGATATCAAGAGATTCATGCTACCAAAACGGTAGAACCTCCGCAGAATAGGCACACGGCTTCCGGGTCGCCAAAGGGAGTATATCTCCTTTGCAGCTCGCACGTGAAACAAGTCAGTACCATAGAACATGACGGGAGTTGTCATGATGAAAAGAGACCATTCCATCCGAGAGACACTCCCAGCCCACATTGGCTGCTCCAAATACTTTCGAGTCGGGTTGTTCGACGACACAAGGCTCATGAATACTATACCGATCAGAAAGGTTGGAATTGCCACTATCAAAACGAAAAGGAAACGAGACAGCAGCCTACGCCTCTCGTGCAACTGTATTGCTCGTGATCGGTCTTCTATGCTGGGAGGGTGGTAAACGGTGGCTTTAAAAGCTTCATGAACTTCGTCGATGCGCTGAAGTATGGCTCTGATGGTAAGAGAGGGAGGGCGAGGAGTATAAGTGACTTTAACAATGGGGTTCTTGACAGATAGTGTATCGTCAAGCTCAACACCAGAAAGTTCCTTGAAAGAGTTAAAAACCTTCTCTGGGCAATGGTGACAGAACATCCCCTCCACTCGTATTGCCACGGTTCTTCTATCGATCTCGTCACCATCTTGACTTTCCCCAGCCAGGGGTAGGACACTAGTGACCGAGGCGTCGTATCCTAGGTCTTCGATTTTCTCCACAATGGCATCAATATGATCGTGTCCGTCGAACTCTACCTTCCCGCTATGAGACAAAAGATTAACTGAAACCTTTGTCACAAAGGGGAGTTCTTCAAGTCCTCGTGTGACACTCCCGGCACAAGAACCGCACGTCATGCCACTGATAGCAATTTCGGCGACATAATAGGATAGGCTCCGGCTCTGTGATGAAGTCACGCTTACTTGTTGTACTTCATCGAGAGAGGCTTCAAAGCCAATATCCTCAATATGCTCAATCACCTTTTCTATATTTGACTGGGGACCGTTATAGAGGACTGTCGCACTATTGCTGAGAAGATTGACAGTGATGTCCACGATGAAGTCGAGCTGCTCAACCTCATTTGTAACTGTATTGACACATGATGCGCAGCTCATGCCTTCAATACTTATACGGGCATTAAACCTTCCATCACTGTCATGTGGATGCAGAGATTTGGAATTTTCCGCAGAATTTCGGGGTACCAGACTCTCAATGTCCGATACTTCGTCACTGAGGCCAAATAATTGACTATCCTTCTCATTCCTTGACCAAGTAGGAGCCGTCTCTGACAAGTTTCGCAACTCGGATTTTCCTTGCAGTTCCTCTTTCCGACAGGCATCGCAATTTGCAAGGTGTCTATTCTGCGTCGTCGAGCTAGAATGTGAAGCCTGCTGTGTCGCAAAAGATACAGAGTCTTTGGAAAGCCACGAAGTTGTGCTAATGTCAGATACAACCATGCCTTGTTCATCACAAGTCGTTACATGATGAACCTCGAATGCAGCTTGAATCAAAGCCTGGGCTAAGGTGGAAGGACTGGTCTCTTCCGCATGAGAGACTCGCACCTCATGAGTGAGAATAGTGACATCAACGCCAAATATGCCAGACAGTTCTGAGAGGACTTCCGTGATGTATGCAATGCAGGAAGAACAATGCACGTTACTGACGAAGAAAGTGCTTTTGAGGTGCCTTGAGTCCTGGCCCGCAGGATTTCGAGATGCATGATCTGACGTTGGCGACATTGTATGCTGTTTGGAAGTATAGCGCTGCAGGACACTGAACAAGGTCTTGAAAAGAGGAACCAGGAAGCATCCCTTGATAAAAGGATGAATCGCGAAATAGCTAGCTGGTAGAACCTGATTCTCTGGAAAGTAGGCGAAGGTGGCGAAGTTGAAGAGACTTTGGTCTAAGTTGTGAATATCAAGACAGCTAGTTAAGACGTGTTAGAAGAGGCCAACATGGGGGAAAGCCTGTTGGGTTAAATTGTAACAAGCGAGGAATGCAACAGTATGTTTCTGGAATAGTCCGAAGGTGACAGCAGGAGCGACGAGAACGGTAATTCTGATTAAATGTTATGCTAAAATGATTAGAAAGGCGCAAAGTAGAAACAGAATTAAATATTAATTTCCGGGGAGGCACGCTGGCAATAAAATACTACACGGAAAGAGGCTGCGTCTTTTGTGCGTGAAGCTGTGGAGAGACGCTAAATTACGCAGAAATCACTCATTCCGAAGTATGGAACCGCCACAAAGATTGACGAATATTCAGGATGACACGAGGACATCTTTTTATCATTAGTCAAACTTCGGTTGAGTGACTTCATCGATTAGAGCAGAAAATATTCGTGTCGGTACGTCCGTATGCCTGTTACATACTGACAGGAGGTTGAGCGATTATAGCGTCAAATGTCAAGTCCACAATGACATGCCGTGGCAAATCTTGATCCCAACCCCAACTGGGAGAGATAAGATTAAATGAGTCATGAAGACTATTTACTATCAGATTGATAATCACTTCGCCTGGTCTGATTTGTTGACTTGAATGGGAGAAGAATGAGGACCAGGTACAGACAACCATGTCTGCAAACGGCCACCTTCATGTTGGATGAGCATGAACAGGGTCCAAAGTCTTAACATATAGACAGGTGGACCCTTTTCATACAATGGCATGCGCAAGTCATGCTTCTGGTACATGTTGAATACCCCGCACAGATGAATGATATTGTCCTGACAATCATCTGGTGAAATAAATTGACTTCACGAACTCGACGGGAATCGAACGGCGGCTCCTCCTGGAAATATGACTGGAATGCCGGAGTCCAGTGTGACCACGTGACCCTCCCACTGGACCACGAAGACTTTTTCAACGCGTCGTCGCTCGCACTGATCACGTCGCTATCCAATTTTTCACCCCCTCCACGCATCGCCTGTCGCGTGTCAATCTATTTATTGAAATTCGATGCATATCTATTTAATCTACTTCGTTGAAAAGATACTTTTTTGTCGCTAAGAAAAGTTAGCGTCGTGTTTTTCACTATTGGACTGAAGTCCCTTTACTTTCAAACACACCTGATATCGACATTTCGACTTCTAGACGTCGACAAATCATATATCCTTTTTTTCTCTGACAACCAATTCATCACATCTCCAAGTGCTATCGATCCGATCCCGACCCCCGTTATCAATCACCTCGACCCATTCATAGAAAGAATGTCTCCTTGATCTCATTTACTCTTCTTTTCTCTCCACTTCTGAGCCTCCTTACTTTATATATTCCTGCAGTTCAGAACCTCGTTGGAATTGGGTTACTAGTGAACATTAACTTATCCTCGAACCACGCGTATCATGTCTACTTCTAGACCGGGAATGCGCCCTCCATCCCCCCCGAAGGCTGGCCCCAGGGCACCGCCGATGGGTCGGTTGGCCAGTCTCAAATCCCCTAATCCTGCTGCAATAAGACGACCTCAACCAATTGGTCGGCCACAACCAGCCAAGCCGACTACTCACCCGAAGACTTCTACATGCCCTAACCCTGGTTGTCCCGCACCTCATATTGTCGAGGACGATGGGCAGAAGGTTTGTTCTGGGTGTGGTACGGTCATCAGCGAGGCAAACATTGTCTCCGAAGTGACTTTCGGTGAGACATCGTCCGGTGCTGCAATTGTTCAAGGTACATTTGTTGGAGAAGATCAGACTCATGTCCGCAGTTATGGCCCCGGCTTTCAACGTGGAGGTGGTGCGGAAAGCCGAGAGATTACTGAGCAAAACGGTAGTCGATATATCAATCAGCTATCCCGTGCTCTGAACATTCCGGAGAGTGCTTCGAAAGCTGCTGGTCAGGTTTTCAAGCTCGCAGTTGGTTTGAACTTCATTCAAGGTCGCCGAACAAAAACAGTGGCTGCGGTGTGTCTCTACATCGCTTGCCGCCGGCAGGACGGTAACACCGTAATGCTCATTGATTTTGCGGATGTCCTCATGATCAACGTGTTCAAGCTAGGCCGAACGTATAAAGCTTTGCTGGAAGAGCTGCGTCTAGGTGGCAATGTATTTCTGATGAATCCGATCGATCCAGAGAGTTTGATTTATAGGTTTGCCAAACAGCTGGAATTTGGAGCTGCCACGATGCAGGTAGCCAGCGAAGCTGTCCGTATCGTGCAACGAATGAATCGCGACTGGATGACCACCGGTCGACGTCCTGCTGGTATTTGTGGTGCTGCTTTAATTCTTGCGGCGCGAATGAACAACTTCCGGCGCACGGTCCGCGAGGTTGTATACGTCGTCAAAGTAACTGAAATCACTATCAGCCAACGTCTCAACGAATTTGGTGCAACGGAAAGTGGAGAGTTGACAGTCGATCAATTCCGCTCTGTCCAGCTGGAGAATGCCCATGATCCGCCCTCTTTCACCAGGGCAAGGGAAGGGAGGAAACCGTCGCGGAGTTTCAGAAGAAGACCCACGGAAACCGCAGCGGATATTGAGGGAGATCTTACTGATGTCACTACAACTCCCTCGAACAGCGCTCCCCAACAGCATAAACGCGTTGATGCGGATGGCTTTGCCATCCCTAGCCTTCCCATCGATCCGGCCTTGATAGCAGCAGATGGCGAGAGACGAACGTCAACAACATCCATCGAGAGCGAGGTTGCATCAGAAGTTAGCGAAAACCCGGATAAACCAGCTAGGGGCCGCCCTAAAGGCTCCAAGGCACGACCCCTACCAACTCCGACTCCCGATCAAATCGCCTCAGAGGAAGCCCTCGAAAATGAGATGACCGCCTATCTGACAAAGGGCTCCAATATGATCGAGAGTACCACGGTACCAAGGAAAGCTGTGTCCGAAAGCGCTGAAATCGATGAGGCCGAATTTGAATCAGATCCAGAGGTCTCCAACTGTTTACTGTCCCCTGCTGAGGTCGAAATTAAGGAGCGGATTTGGGTGCACGAGAACAAAGACTATCTGCGGACACAGCAGGCCAAGGCTTTGAAACGGGCCTTGGAAGAGGCTGATTCCCAGCCCGGAATGCATAAACCACGCAAGCGTCGTCGCGGTAGGCTAGGGGACGTCACGTACCTACAGGGTGACGGCGAAGACGGTGATGGAAGAAGCACACGGGCTTCTACTCCAGCAGAAGCAACACGTCGAATGCTGGAACGAAGGGGGTTCAGTAAAAAGATCAACTATCGGTTGTTGGAGTCACTGTTCGGCGAAGAGGGTGCAGATGAGGCCGCCAAGGCGGAAGGAGAGAGAATGAGCCGCAGTCAGAGTGTGGCATCGCGGCGTAGCGTCAGTGTTGAACCAGAGGGTATCTCGAGACGTGCTAGACTAGTGACTCCATCAACTCGCGCTAACGCCCCTGGCTCCCCGGCTCCAACGTCCGTTCCCGCGCGTAGTGTCACCGAACATACTCAGCAAACCGGTGTCACAACGGATAAAGTTGGTCAGGCGGACCCCAAGGAAAATGCCGCAGAGCCCGCCACCGATGACAAGAACGGTTATTCGGATGATGAGTACGACGACGATGATGAAGACCCCGATGGTGTGGATGCTGCTCTCGCAGGACACTACGGCGATTACTATGACGAGGGAAGCGACTACTATGACAGTGATTAGTGTGACTAGTATTTATAAAGTTTAATACCAGGTATAGCGAATAGGATAGATACCTTTGGATGCGAGAAATGACAAGCTAGACTTTGGTTAACCTTGAATATCAAGATGATACCGCTCCTTCGTGCAGCCAGCGTCTGATCATGAGCGACTTCCCATCGTGAAGAACCTAGGGATATCCAAAAGACCAAGGAATAACAACATGCCCTCCGTCAAGGTCCACATCTCTAACCGTGGCCATGCACGAAATCCCCCGACTCCTTCCCTTCCTGACTCGGAACTGCCATTCCGGTTACCCATCACGTGTGATCGTCGGTTCCCAAAGTCCACCCATGGTCACAGCTTCATTCCAAGTTCACGCTTCTACCTTATCACAATTGCCACAGTTGTCACTACTATCATTGTTACTGTAGACTGATCCCCCTCTCTTGTACCCCATGCTCACAGTGCTTCGGATCCAGTTAAGGATCCAATATGTGTCCGTTTAACGTACTCGTATGCTTGCTGTATCATTACTAATGTCATCTAGGTAGAAGGCCAACTCTCTCCCATCCACTTCAAGGATGCGCTTGGCCGCAGTACCCTCAGGCAAGGGGCAGTTTGTGACGCAACAGCCCTCCCAGAGGCGCTATTCCTATGCTCTCGGCCGAGGTCATAGCTCTCTAGGGTAGAGTTTACGAGTTATGCATTCTCCTTCGGAAAGGGACTTGCGCTGTGCAGCGGTGGTGCACCTCAGGCTGAACCCGGAAGTAATATCCAGTGGAACCCACCATATCCTGCAAGCTGGGTGTATTCACAGGCCTCAAGAGTTTCCAGTCCAGACCCCGAATCTGCTGATCATTGGGAATGCGGAGGGGTACCTGCTCCGCAGGCCAGAATGCATGAATCATGATCAAGCAGTGAGAATTGTCAAATGCTGCCGATCTACCGGCTGACTCTATCTACTCTCTTTGCCCTAGTAAGAAGCTAGGAGCGGAATTTCTCCGGCTGGTATGGGACGCCCCTCCTGCACTCGTCTACAAAAGGTTAGTATGGACTTTTCATATTGAGGGACACCTATCTATAGTGGGCAAGGGTGTATCCTGCACTGAGGCTCTTTCGTCACCAATTGCATACGCTTGGATCCACTGCAGATTACATGGAGCTCACTGTGTTTGCATGCTGATTGACAAACTGAAGCATACTAATTTCTCTATATATAAAGTCCTTCGGACAGCTACTTTCCTTACTCCTCGGTCACCTTGTCTCAAACTTGTCCCTGTGTCCTCTTTCACAACATGGTGAAGCTTAACATGTACGGCCGAGGGCTAGGCCTTCGGATGGCTATTATGCTCACCTGCCAAATATCGTTTGTCTTATTTGGTGCGAGACATCATATTCATTGTTGTACTGCAGCAAACTAACTTCTGCGTTGGCCATTTGTAGGTTACAATCAGGGTGTATTTTCCGGAATCGTGGGGAATGAAGACTTTCTCAATGTTGTACATCACCCAGGCTCTGCGGCCATTGGGATCATAGTTGGGATCTACAATCTAGGCTGCTTCCTCGGGACAGGAGTGTGTTTCATGATTGGAGATAGGCTAGGGTTTCGAAGGACAATGTGGTTCTCGATGACTTGGATTGTGGTATGTCTGCACTTGCAACGTCCCAAACTGACAGAAAGACCGCTCAGATAACATTCCATGCAGGCTGGGGCCATTGCACAAACCTGCGCGTTTTCCACAGCACAATTGCTGGCGTCGCGATTCTTTACTGGGATTGGCACTGGGGTTTTTACCAGTATTGTGCCAGTGTACCAATCGGAACTGTGCGACGCACGGAAACGAGGAATGTATGTATGTAGCCAACCTCTTGCCGTTGGGGTAGGCATTGTTGTTGCCTATTGGTTCGACTACGGGATGAGCTATGTTGAAGGACCCGTAAATTGGCGGCTACCAATCGCCTGCCAGATTATTTTTGCTCTCATTGTGACGGTTATGGTCCTCGGGTAAGTGTGCATCCTACCTAACTCAGTGGTCTACATGCACATGTTATTGAACGCGTATCTCACGTATAAACAGGCTACCGGAGAGTCCTCGATGGCTATACCGGCGAGGTCGTGGAGGCGAAGGCTTGCAGGTGCTCTGTGACTTCCATGATCGCACCGCGAACGACCCAAAAATAATTGAAGAGTCGCAAGGGATAACCAAAGCTATCCAGCTGGATATCCTCCGCGGAGAATACAGGTGGTCCCAGATCTTCAAGAAAGATGAGTTGCACACGGGCAGACGTGTGCTACTGGCCTACGGGTTGCAATTCATGAACCAAATGGGAGGAGTCAACATCATAGTCGTAAGTTGTGAAGCCGACAGTATCTGTTTCCCCCAAACATAAACTGATTCTCAACCAGACCTATGTCACTACAGGTAAGGATCATACTCTCCATGCAACCTGAACTCCACTGAGGATGACAGTGTTGGAGACCAATGTGGGCCTTGACAAGGAGTTGAGTTTACTTCTGGGAGGTGTGATTCAGGTGATGTTTGTCATAGGTAATTGAGCATTCCTCCTAAACACTGCTTATCTAGAAGGTCTGCTGATCTCGTTACACAAGGCTCGTTCTATCCCACATTCTACTCCGATCGACTGGGTCGAAAAAAGCCGATGATGTGGGGATCTTTCGGATTATTCCTTTGTATGATGATGATCTCCATTCTTTTGTCTTTCAAGGGTAAGTAAGCCCCCTTGTGATATGGCTGGGCAGAGGAGCAGAGAGCTTACGGTTTGCTAACTCTCAATAGGCACCTCCTTGGAGAAAGCAGCAGCTACCGCATCGGTGCCGTTTTTCTTCTTGTTTATGCTCATCTTTGGCGCGTCCATTAACTGCATACCATGGGTTTACGGGCCGGAGATTCTCCCCCTTCACGTCCGAGCGAAAGGGTAGGCATAATAGCTTCATTCCAACCGGGAGCCCCTGCGGAATTTGTGAAAGCTAACTGAATACTCCCGAAATAGCCAAGCTCTCGGAGTCTCGGCAAACTGGCTGTGGAATTTCTTCGTAGCCATGATCGGACCAACCTTGATCAATGACCTTGCATGGAAGGGCTACCTGATTTTCATGTGTTTCAATCTTGTCTTCGTGCCGGTGAGCCAGAATCGTCCGCAACCATCTCTTCCATTATAACTAACAAGTATGCTTAGCTTCTTTATTTTTTCTACCCTGAAACTGCCAACCTCACTCTCGAGGAGATCGATTCCCTGTTTATGCACAAGAGCCCACAATCGTTGGACTCGTCGGAAGAGTGGAAGGAGCCTATTGTCGTCACCACGAGTGTTGAAACACTAAAGGAATAAGGTATATGGATTACATTGTGGGAAGCGTTCGCTACGACGAGTCGAAGATTATGGGTTAATAGAATGGCTTTATAGTTGTATTCTTATAGCGCGCAATATATCCGAAATAGTTATATAGTTTAGCAATGCCGGCAGCTGGAATGTTGGGGAGGATGCTCATCGAAACATATGGGGATATATGACATTTTTATCCGGATCTGCACTCAGCCGATCAATATGATGATCTCTCCTCTCAATAGTAGGTATAATTATTCACTAGGTCCACGGCCACCCAGGTGTTCTCGATCAATTAGAAAAGCAACTGAATTAATTGTTTTTTATGTGTACATTTAATGCCAATGTAGATAAGAGACAAACAAACAAAGTATTTACTAACAAAGATGGAGAAACAGTAAACAAAATATCATTTTGTCGTAAAATCGCTGCTTGTAGAAATATATATATTCATGTACTTACTAAACCTCAACCTTTCAATATGAAGCTAATATTCAATTCCAAGCTCGTTAACAGTATATATGGAATCTTGAAATTTGAGATATTACAATGAATAGATATATGTATCCTATGAATAAAGCGACTGATTAACCCTATTCATATTTCTAATATTTTCTGGTCAGTTGCAGTTTTATTCAATTTTTTGTGTTGCCGGTTGGATTTATTCACCAGGTTAGATTGGTTCTTTTTGCTTCTTCTCTTTGCTTTTACGTTTTCCTCTTCTATTTTATTTTACTCTTGGATTATTACTATTCTTTTTTTTTTAGTCTTTTTTTTGCCTTTCATAGCTCCACAGGTAGGATACTCGTATCGTGTAGTATAATGTTTGTAGTGGAGTGCGTAGGGCAACTTAAGTTTGACTTGGGGTGGATGCCCGAATGAGTTGTCAATCATGCCTGACAACACTACGGAATACTTAGTGGGGGTTTTAATTCTGCTAAAAGGATCTGCCTTTCTTTCATGTTCATTTTTTCTTGAATATATTTCTTTCTTTCTTTTTTGATCTCTTATGATATCTTTCACAATGATGGATCGAAATTATGAACACAATGTCAATATGAAGAAAGAAAATCGAAATGACAAACCATGAGCGAACACCGCAAGTGAATACCACCTTTTGCGCCCTAAAAATTTGGAAGAACAGAAAATGATATCATCAAAATCCCGACACCGGATGATTACGTTTTGCCGAAGAACCCAAAAGACAATGAGAAAAGATCTGTGCCGAAAACATTGTTAGATACGAAGCGAAATATATGAGCAAAACTCGTCGAAACTTTTTTTTGCGCGCGCTCGCGCTGTCGAAGCCCGTGTCGAGATTTTACGCGTCGATGTCCATGCCCGTCCCCATTCCTACGCTGCCGTTCAGCCCAACGCCCGCGCCATCACTGACGGGTTGTGCCGAGAGGGTTTGTAAGAGAGGAAGGCCGGCGTCCGCAGGGTTCGCCCCGAGGATATTTTGCGTTTGAAGGGATGCATTATTGACTGATCGGTGCGAGGCATTCAGAATCTGAGTCCCCTCGAAGACAATGGGATTCGATCGGAGGTTTTGAATGCAGGTTTCCCAAGCGGATGCCACCAGCTGAGCCTGGGTGAGATCGTCGTTAAACAGATAAAAGGCGTTGGAGTTTGCTGGTCCAAATGGCGTGACAGGTCGTGCAGTCACGAGGTAAGCGTTCAAAGCTCGATTCTTCATAAGTATTTGAGAGTCTAGCAGATACGCAGAAAATTGTTTGTCGATGTATTTCTTCCAGCCGCGAACTGCGGCTGCCATGTCGCCATCGCCGTCGAACGTGATACGTTGCCAGCTGATACCGAGAAGACGGGTCGCATCGTCAACTAGCGGCTCATCAGGCGAGCGATTTGTCGCGCCGAGGAGGCGGCGGTTGTCATCTTTGCCGCTGTCCTGTAATCGCTGCACTGAGGAGAGTGCGATATCGTCGAGTCTGGGAGCGGAGGGATCAAGACGCTGGGACTTCCGGCCCGAGGTGTTTGACTGGCCGGATTGAAACGCCTGAGAATGCGACGAGACAGGCGGTGCAGAAGTAATAGTGCTCTCCAGCGTTTCTTCGTACCAAGTGCCTGTCTGAGTCTCTGCGGAGAGAGCTAACCCGGTACGGGGATTCAGAAGAATCATACCTTCTCCATAGATAGGCTCCTCTTTCTTTGCAGGAACCGGCGTGGGGATGAAGGGTACACTGGGGGCATTCATAGCTTCTTCGAAAGCCGCTTCATCACGCGATCTTTTTCGCGACGGCTTTCCGTTGACAGGCCCAGACGCGGCTAGCTTTGCACCAAACGAGGTGCTTGGACCACTCGAGAAAAACGAGCTTGAGTTTTTGGAGACGGCATCAAGCTTAGAGTGGCGAGGGAACTGAAGGAAGGCGTGTTCCTGGGGAGGGGACAGGACCATGGCAGGGCCGTCGGAGAGGCTGTTGAGCATCATCGGACACATGGTGTTCTGAAAGAGCTGATAGAATCGGAGGTAACTACAAGAAAGAGAATCCGATCTGTTTTGTCAAGTGAGCTAGAACCAACAAGATAGAGCAACCTATGGATCACGAGATCCAAGTCGTGAGAAGAGGATTTATGAGGTTGGCGCAACGAATGCTGACGTTGCGAACAAGGAGAGGAGGGTCAGTATCTAACGAGATGATATGAGATGTGATGGTAGAGCAAGGACGAAGGATAGATGGGGATGGTGACGATGAAAGAGAAGAGAGACAATGATGAGAGGGAAGGAAGAAAGGGAAGAAGAGAAGAGAAAGAAAGGAACGGAAGGGAAGGGTGGAGAGAAGATGCAGGGAAGGGTAAAACACGAGAGAGAGGATGAGGAGCCAACAGCGAACCACGGGATGGGAAGGAGAGAGAGAGAAAGGAAAAACGCGTGAAAAAGAGGCTGACGGGAAGCAGATGATTTGCTTGGACGTTTCGGAGCTTCTTTTTTGGATGCGATGCGGAGAAGGATTTGTTCGCCTCGTTACCGTTCCATACACACCCTGTCGGCCATTTTTCCGGCAATGTGCGGTTGCTGCATACCATACCTTACTGTACTGCTAGCCTTCTCCACCGACTCCAGATCGACCAGCAAGGATGCTGCCATTATTGGACGATTGGCTCATCGCTCTGGGCAACCACTTTGTGGAACCCTGACCTTCAGCTCTTCCCCGATTGGCTCATTTTTCAAGCCCCGTCCGCGCGTCCGGTCGTTCCAGGAACCCTGTCACCATCTTTGATTGCTTTCATTCGTCACTACCTCACAGGTGGGTCTGCAGCGTGAGGAAGTTTCATGCCAATTGGATCGAACGGCTGCTCCACTTACTACTAGTAGTAGTCTGGGCAAGTTCAATGACGAGTTTGAGAAAGCCTGGAAGCCTTGCATTTGTGGCCTGAGGAAGCAAGGCGCTTGGTCCGACGCTCAAGCACCTCCCTCAGCACTCAAGCGAGTCCGGAGTTACGTACCATATTCCGTTCGACCTACTACTTACTAATTTTATTAACAAGCACATCTGCAACGCATTTGGAATATTTCGATCAAGTCTATTTTGTTAGAAGAAATAGAAAAGAATAAATCTATAGTCACAAGAAGGAATGCGGAACAATATCAAGAGCTAGATAAAAGCAATATCCCGACACCAGAACCTCGTGCTAGTTTAGCGTGACACAAATGTTCATCAAATCTCAAACAATACAATGGAATCCAAAGAAGGATTGACACCGTAAACAACAAAAGGCAAGGGGGGGGGACCTCCCGAGCGAGATCCACAAGTCATATCACGACCCCTCGAGATGACATCCAGTGTTCATCAGGCACAGGCTGCATTCCCTGCATGTGGCCGTATCTCCTGGCACTCCGGGTGTCCATCCCGCGGGATTACTGCAGCTGACAGGCATTATCTTTTAAGCTGCGGGCCATAAGGTTTATCATGAGGCCCACTGTGTAAATAGTGGTATAAATAAGTAAAGAAATGAAGGTTGGTAGGTCTGTGTCGTTCAGTTTCACATGGCACCTGAAACCGCTCCGTGTTCAGGATGCATCCACTCCGTATCTGTCTGGGACAAAACACCTCACAAAGCCTGGTAGCGCCTTTTATGCGTTTCCAGCAGTGGCGCCACCGAGCAAGCCCTTGACTCTGTCAACAGAGCCGCCAGCATAGCTGGGTGCCATGGATCCAGCCAACAGGAAAAAGATGAGGACAATAGCACCGATGATGATGGACTTGCGCTTGGCGGGGTGGTTGGCACCGTATTCAGCCCAGGCACGGTTGGCCTGGCTGGTGTATTCCTTGATCTTATCACCACCAAGCTTGTAGTAGACGAGACCAACGAGGGCAATGGAATAACCGAAGAACTGGGTAAGGGTAACGGGAGTCTGCCAGATCATCATCGACGCAATAACCAGGAGGATATCCTTCAGAACACCGCAGAGGGTCATGACGAGGGATGAGGTCTTTCCGATCTGTAGCCAACAGTTAGTTTAGACGTAAATACTATCGACAAGACTGATTCTTACCAGGAAGACAACCGAAACGTTCAGCAGGAAAGCAACAACAGCGTTCAGCAACAGGGTCCAGACACCCACGCGGTAAACGTGGTCCATGGTGACATGAGGGACCTCCATGAACAGAGCAGTGACACCGTTCATCACAGCGCAAACAGGAGCGAAGTAGTACAGGGAGACAAGAGGGTCCATCTTGTACTCGGCGGAGCTAAGCAGACGCTGCACCATGACCAGACGAGTGGCCTCGAAGATAATACCACCGATTTGGAAGAGGAATCCCGTGAGGACGAACTTGATCTCACCGAAAGATGCGATAATGACACCAATGACAATCAGGGACACGTTCATGAGCACCTTGTAATTCACAGGAGCCATTCCCATTCCCCAGGTGGCGAAGAGCACAGCGACCGGAGTGGTAGCCTAGACATCGTTGTGAGCGAGGAACAACGGTTTTGTGATCGAGACGAACGCACCTTGAGCATCTGAATGAATGCAACACTCAGGTACAAGTAAGTCATATTACCGCAAATCAAACTCAAGCTGAAGAAAAGACCAATAGGGACGATAGCGCGGAGATAAACCCGGCCAGTCATCTTAACAGTTTTCCTGCCATCGAGTAAGGTGGTGGTGCGGGCGAGAACTTGGGTCATGAAGGTCGCGAATGCCAAATGCCATGTGGTAAGGATAATAGCTGCCACGATATTAGGATACTGTCTCTGTATAAGGGTTGAGTGCGGGAAACCTACGGAAGCCTATAAAACATAGGGGTTAGAAAACTATTCTCATCCTCTGTAGCCACAAATCTCCGGAGTGTACTTACGGAACTGAGCATAATCGAGGATGTGCTTGTTGAACAGAATGACGCTGGAACTCAGAGTAATCCAAACACTGCGAGAAAATTAGTAAATCCATCTTGTGCGAGACTGAGTTTCCTAAGCCCAGCACTCACGTCACATAAACTGCGGGATGGAAGGCAGGCTTGGGAGGCTCTGCCCTCTCAGCGGCCGGGTTAACAGTAGGCAGACTGGGTTCCGGGCGGGAGACCTCGCCGGAGGTTCTGGCCTTTTCTCCTTCGGAGCTCATTTTTAGGATACGACTTTGGTCTGATAGAAAACGTTGGAACTCGAAGGGTCGCGGCCGTAGAAGGCTGCTTTGGCTAAATTGCGCGGAGGCCACGGGTGAAGATGAAACGACAGAAGAACTGGAAAGAAAGGAATAAGTCTAGTCCAAGAAGAAGTGAAGAATAGCGTGAATGAATGAACGAGTGGGACAAGAGTTGGTCTGAACTGAAGAATAAGGAAAGAGATGCAAAGAGACAAAACTTGGCGCTCACGAAAAAGAGATGGCAAGTATGAGAGAAGAAGGGGGGAGGGAGGAGAAAGAGAAAGGTTGGGAGCGAAATACGTAGTAAGTATACGTTTTTCTTTTTTCCTTACCCTGCGGATAGGCTGTGATTTACTTTTTTTGTCGGTAAGCGTTGCGAAAACGCGGCACGGGTTGATTTATTTGGCGGGATTATTTTATTTTATTTTATTTTTTTAAGGGGGGCAGGACGAGGCAAAGAACAGGGAAGAGAGGGTCGGGGATCCGCATTGACAAGAAGGAAAAGAGAGATCGTGGCCCGGGATGAGATATGTCGTTCGCTGAGAGGGAAGCGCAAGCTTGCACTTAGACTCCCGTCTTAAGACCCGGTCCAAGGTCAACGCTTACCGGACATAGTAGTGTCCCTTAGACTGAGGCATGCAGCAACTGCATGCAGCACACGCCTTCTGTTCCCTTTCCAGCCATACATAAGTACATACTCCTCCACTGCATCGTAAATAATACTAACATACATATCTTATTTTCTCTCGCATACCACATACAACATGTGAAGTGGTTCACAGCACCAGCTATTTCATAGTAGTATAGATATTAATAGTAATGACTAACCAAAATGAAAAAAAGAAAAGAAAAACGATGGGGAAAAAAAATGTAACCACACAGCATGGTTATCGATACCGGTACCACCTGGTAACTGACATGGGCTAATATTTTTTTTTTTTTTTTAAAAAAAAAAAAAAAGATTCAATTTTTATTTTAATTAATATCTCTTATTTTGGTTTAAAATTACTTGCGAATACCTTTTACTCCATAGGATTAATTTACTCGACAACCAGACGGCAGTTGAAACGCTACCATTTGATTCTGACGGGTGGTTTCGAGTTCTAGCCAGCAAACAGTGGAGGACGTTGTGGGGACTGGAGGCGAAAAAGTGCGGTGGACATGAACAGATCGATAAAAGTGACTACGTGTACTATACAGTACTCGTACCGTTGTTACATGCAAAATTCATCTTAGTCTCTATGGCGAACTTCCAGTTTTGTATAGACATTACGGGTGAAGTATCATAAATCCGCACAGCTTTCCCTCTGGCGATACACACGTACTCTCCACGTACCTCATGCTTACCCTATGCCTTTGACCCCCTCATTTTATTCTTTGCAGTAACAGTTCCCGAGTATCAGGGTCCAACACAGTCGTACGTAAACCCTTCCCTAGCCAAGTCCCGCTCTTTTGTCGCCCTGTTCGAATTGATAACCCTGATTACACTTTGCAGTGCTCCAACCTCCTAGTGGGTTATCAACCATAGGACCAGCAACTCCATTGGTGTTGGTGTGGGGCGAGGCCAATGTCCATCACTCTCGTGGCGAAAGTTGGCGAATGGTGTCAATCTCCAAGTGTCCACTTTTTCTTTCTCTCTCTTGCCCCTTTTCTGGTCGTTCGGATTGTTCTTGGGAAATTCGGTCCCCATCCAAGGTACCTCCCTATATTGCTGTCTTCCACGACTTTTTTGGTCTTTATCTCTTTTTCTCCTCTTGGGCCTCGAAATTTAAATTTCACACATTCTTTCCCTGTCAAATTTGCTTAATGACTGTACAGTTTTAGAGTTACAGCATCAATTAGTCAAACGTCAGCCTCCGAAACACTTCCAATGACAAAGACTCGAATAGGTGGGCAAATCAACAGCGGAAGAATTCATACTGCGAGCCTGCGACATGGGGAGTGTTGATCAAAATTAACACCTACTGGGCTGCATTACGCAAGCAGTCTGGGGCCAAGCATTCAGTTACCCGCGTTCAGCGGCCACTTGTCCATAGCGTTGCGGCGGAGGTCCCTTATGGGTGGGGAATGCGGCGATCTGATGGCTGAGGATTTGACGCCATCACCTTTGGTTCAATGGCGTTCAAATAAAATCTAAAATGGATTATCTGCCCACCTTCCCAAATAGGATTATCAGTGCCTCACAACGACCCACGAGGGTCCTGATTTGTTCTACTGGATGGAGCACCGTAACATCCTCCTGCTTTGCCATCCTTACCATGTAGTCAGGTACACAATGGGTTTCTACAATGGAGACACTGTCAGATTCTCTCTCCATGGTACCAACCCCGGGGACAAATGATTGTGAAGGTACTGTTCCCATGGGAGCAATTTTCCCGATGAAACAGAAGAGCCACGAATCAAGCTTGGGGCTCGGAAGGATCAAAGAAAGCTTTTCTCCATGGACCCTTCCGTGGTGGCTAAACGCTCCGTTGACCCTGATCAAAAGTTCAACCATCGTTGCAGGGTTTCTGGAAAGAGATCATCTTCAGCTTTCCTTTTTGAGAAAGACAATCAGTGGAACCGTCGTGCGTTCGGCTCATGTGCTCAGCCCAAACTCGGTCCTGACAAGTTTGATGGATCGAATAAGGGACGATCACCTTGTTAGTTTTATTATGAGTGCTCTGATACGGACGTCCATCGCACCACAGAGGAGTTCGTACGAGAACTGCAGTATCAGAGGATAGCAGGAGTACGTAACTACGTATATGTCCAGACACCATTGGCCTTGGACAGCATAGACAAAGTTCGACTGTGCAATTTGTCTTTGGATCTCTGAATCTTCCCGATACTGTAGATTTGAATCGACATGAACCATCCTGTCAGATATCACCCAATTGTCATTGATATCAACGATGATTGAGTGGATATGACCTTTTCCTTCCAGATCTAAGGGCTTGTCTCACTTTGGATAGAGAGTTTTAAGTCAAAGTGTGTTAAAAATGCATTGGCAAGAATTACCCCGGAAAATTATAGTTGCCACTGTTATAATTAACATAAAACAAAACACTCTTTGCCCCTGCTTCCTCCTGCTAACCATAGTACAGGCAAAACCAGATGGGAAGACATGTGCCAGTTTGGGCATGCTTTGCCCAGAGGAGTAGTTGCCGTACCGTTTTCGGATAAGAGCACCCTCATCCATCGACATTCCAGCCCCTGGTGCCTGCCGAGAGAACCCACCACCAATGCTTTTTACATAGATGGATGTGAAGGATGTTAAGATGGGATGATAAGGATTGTGACTGGGGCCAATCATGGGCAGTATCCCGCAGGATCATCCGGATTACGACTACGATAAATTGATTTTCTCTTGCAAGGAACGGTGGGCAACACAAGTCGTAGTACCAGTTAATCCTAGCTAACGTCGTGTGCAACTATCAAGTACGGTACTGTATTATAGAGGGACTTCGAAGAACCCAGAGCAGGGCTCTGAAATTGTGTGGTACTTTGTATCCATAGATCGGGGTTGGATTCGCCTCGTGTCGAAGTTCTAGACATTGAGATTAAGTTCCCCTATTATTGTTAATTGTTCTATTTTTTTTTTTTAATTTAATTTTCATTTTTTTTAATTCGATTGCCTCTCTTGCATTTTTATTTGGGTTTCCCCTATTCCCCTTACCGGTGGCTCTACCAAAGTTGAACCAACCACTAACCTGGAGAGCTTGCGAATCAATTACCATACGTGTAATTCATCTTATTAGGGCCTAAACTTGAAACAGGCACCCCCCACAGCTTCGACTTGTCACGTTTCGTTTTCCCGGCCTGCGATACACCCGCCGACCTGGGATCTTTCTTTCTTATCTGCCCTGCTTCGCTCACCGTTCTTTTCCATTCCTCTCTCTCTCCCTTCATCACTCTCCTGTCCTCTGCTTCTTAAATACTGCAGTTTCCCTGCAGCACTCTCTCCTTCTATGCTTAGCCTCGCCCGCAGAACCCTGAACCGCGTCCCCAGCTTCCAGGATATCCTACAAGGCAGGATGACCCACCCAGACATGTAAGTACTCGCGATACTCAGGGGCTTGTTTCGCAATGCACTGACACAGGGTCTTGCCCGACTACAGTTCCGTTGACGTTCTCGTCATTGGTGCCGGCCCTACTGGTTTGGGTGCCGCGAAGCGTCTTAACCAGATTGTACGATTCCCCTATTCCTGAGCTGCGTCCTCCGAATAATATAACTGATTGTCGTCGTTATAGGATGGCCCCTCCTGGTTGATTGTGGACAGCAATGAGACTCCTGGTGGTCTTGCTTCCACCGATGTGACCCCCGAAGGTTTCGTATGTACTATAATTCAATTGCTTCGTTGAAGCGGCATGGCTAATAAGGCGTTATAGCTCTACGACGTCGGAGGTCACGTTATCTTCTCCCACTACAAGTACTTCGATGACTGTATCGACGAGGCTCTTCCTAAGGAGGATGACTGGTACAGCCACCAGCGTATCTCTTACGTCCGTTGCCAGGGCCAATGGGTCCCCTACCCCTTCCAGAACAACATCTCCATGCTTCCCAAGGAGGAGCAGGTTAAGTGCATCGACGGTATGATTGATGCTGCTCTCGAGGCTCGCGTGGCCAGCACCAAGCCTAAGAACTTCGACGAGTGGATCGTTCGTATGATGGGAACTGGTATCGCCGATCTTTTCATGCGTCCCTACAACTACAAGGTCTGGGCCGTGCCCACCACCAAGGTACGTTGATACTCCGATGGACAGATAAAGTGCAATAGAAGACAGACTTGCTAATGGTGCACGATCTAGATGCAATGTGCCTGGCTCGGTGAGCGTGTCGCCGCCCCCAACGTCAAGGCCGTGACCACCAATGTTATTCTTAACAAGACCGCCGGTAACTGGGGCCCCAATGCCACCTTCCGTTTCCCCGCTCGTGGTGGTACTGGTGGTATCTGGATTGCCGTCGCCGACACTCTCCCCAAGGAGAAGACTCGTTTCGGTGAGAAGGGCAAGGTTACCAAGGTCAACGCCAACAACAAGACCGTCCAGCTCGCCGATGGCACCACTGTCGGCTACAAGAAGCTCGTTTCCACTATGTCTGTGGATTTCCTTGCTGAGGCTATGGGTAACCAGGAGATTGCCACCCTTTCCAAGGAGCTCTTCTACTCTTCTACTCACGTCATTGGTGTTGGTATCCGTGGCTCTCGCCCCGACAGAATCGGTGACAAGTGTTGGTTGTACTTCCCTGAGGACAACTGCCCCTTCTACCGTGCCACCATCTTCTCCAACTACTCTCCTTACAACCAGCCTGAGGCTTCCAAGAAGCTTCCTACCCTTCAGCTGGCTGACGGCTCCAAGCCCGAGAGCGACGAAGCCAAGGAGGGTCCTTACTGGTCTATCATGTTGGAGGTCTCTGAGTCTTCCATGAAGCCTGTCAACTACGAAACACTCCTTGCCGAGTCCATCCAGGGCCTCGTCAACACTGAGATGCTGAAGCCTACCGACGAGATCGTCTCCACATACCACCGCCGCTTCGACCACGGCTACCCCACTCCCTCTTTGGAGCGTGAGGGCGCCCTCACCCAGATTCTTCCCAAGCTCCAGAACATGGACATCTGGTCTCGTGGTCGCTTCGGTAGCTGGCGCTACGAGGTTGGCAACCAGGACCACTCGTTCATGCTTGGTGTCGAGGCTGTGGACAACATTGTCAACGGCGCTGTTGAGCTGACCCTCAACTACCCTGACTTCGTCAACGGTAGACAGAACACTGAGAGGCGCCTGGTTGACGGTGCTCAGGTGTTCGCCAAGGGCAAGTCCCTGTAAGCAGCACGGACTGCGCGATCACTATAGATCATGACTCGTTTAATATTGAATGATTCAAGGGGTAAAATCTTTAGATATACATTATGGGCAACGGGAGCCACTAATTTCATTTGGAGCGATATTTGGGAGATGTTCATTGCTGGGCATTTGATGTGAATCAGCGTCTTCTACATTCTTGCTAGATTCTTTTTCTAACTATAAATTTTTTTTTTTTTTTTTCCTTGACTCTAGACTTGAACAAGGTCCGTTCTGCATTGGTCATGTCTTACTATTCAGAATGTTTGATATATAGCTTTTTGGGGATCCTCGAATATCAAAATACCCTTGTGTTGCATTTGCATGGTTCTGTCTTCATCGTGTCCAAACTCTGACTCTGTTACAGGAAGAGGGTATGGTATGGCATCGTTACGAAACAAGTGAGCATTCCAGAAAACCTCGGATACGTAATGTTGAACATGGTCAACCATCCCACAAGGACCATGACCCAGTTAATCTTCCCACGCACAGGCAAAAATGCCGAGCTACCCGTTTCTCTCCGTACGGAGCTGTCCGCCCGGCACTTAATACAGTGGGTTTGAGTAGCTAACCTACCAAATTTGGTACACAGCTTTACCCTCCAGGTGGAGGGCACTAAATAAGGGTCCTCTATGTTAAATTACGATAGACGCATCTAGTCTAATGGCATGGAGACTATCTATGCAAAAGGTACTCCGTCCTAAACAACTCCTCGAGCTTGGACACTGAGATATATCAAGATCTACAGAGCTATTGATTGCTTAAGATGCACGCACCTCGAGATTTAATTAGGTGCTGACAAGGTCATGACCATCGGTCAGAAGTCGCCGTCGACTAGGACTGGTACTACGTACTAACTAAGCTACTAACATCCCTTCGAAATGCCGGTCTCCACATCCAATCTCGTATCATCCAATCGAAATCGTGGCGGGTAGGACGCGTAAGGTCTCCATACTAATATGATCTCATCGTCGCTATAATTAAACCATCGTCTGGAGAGTCAGAGATAGATATAAGCTGTCCCCTTCGTGGAACTTAAAAACAAAAGAGTAATGTGGCCAATTGTTAATTTCTGTGCTTATTATGGCCACGACGGTGAGATGATGAGATATGTTGCGTACTAGTATAGAGTTGTAGGTGTTTCAACATAATCTTTTATATGTATATATATATATATATATATATATTGCTCTCTCTCTCTCTCTTTCTAAAGATACATGCACTGTCAGTTCATATTTTACCAATCATCTACTGAGAAATATCTGGCTTATTGACGCGTGTTTCATCCTTTCATATAATGTCAGAAATAGATACGTCTGACAGATGCGTGTCTCAGTTAGAATCTCATACACACTCTCTTCGGCTGGCTGATATAAAAAGAGCTCATATTGATTGGCCAGACAAATCAGCAAGTGCATGGGAAAACCCTGACATCATATTATATTTAGGTACTTTTGTTCTTACGGTTTATTTCCTTGCATTTGGCACATCCTTTTCTATCTCAGCCCCACGTCATAGCAATCATCCAGATGTATCTGCACGCACCTATGGAAGCCTCGATCGCATCCGATGGTAATATCCTGATAAATCCCCGATAAGCACTAATGTGCCGTTCATTCGACAGAAAACGCTGGTAGATTGGAAATAGTGATGATATGATCGTTTTTTGGTGGAGCCCATAGCAGACAGTCTTTTTCGGTGGGTTAATAAGAGAGTCGAAGATGTGACTTCAATAATATATAGTGGTAGCCCTATTCAGCTGTTTCTTCTTACTTTGTTTATAGTGAAAAGCTTAAACGAAACTGATCTGATCAATCGGATAACGTACATATACATATTATAAGCCTTCACATGTACAGGGTAAACACCGTCCTGAGTATAGCGGTTTATGATAGAAGTAACAAAATGCCCGCCTGAATACCTGATATCCTCAGTATAGCACTCCAATTCCACGGTAGTGTACTATATCCTCACTACCTAGAGTGTCACTAAGTGGGATGGCTGCTTTCCCTGCTCTTTATATGTGATATGAAAGAGAGAGTCTCGAAGTATTTAGCGAAACCAAGCTCACGTATAGCCCATAGAAGTATCGATCTCTAAACACGCTCGCCCTTGTGATCGAAACATTTGAGGTAACCATGATCATTCGATATACGACCGTCTTTAGTTCATTATTAGAAAGAGGCACTTGATTGTATGTATGTGAGATGGAAGGGAAACTCACCGAGATTAAATTGCCTTCTCTGGACTACGTGCGGTTCATCAGCACGTTCGCAATAAAGCTCTGCTGGACCACGGCGAAAACCCGACACGGAGTATTTAAAATAGTAGTCGAACCCCTTGCCACTGTTTATAGTTAGCTAAGACATCTTTGAAGATGTGTTTTGTAAAATAGATTAACAGCACGGGGATATATGCTCATTCTGTGATTTGTACCGGGCATAGCAATGGTTCAGATCCAATTTGGAAGTAATTTCGGTCCCATCGCCAACCGTGCAGGTTGCAAACAGGCGATGCGCGACATCACCTGGGTCCGCGTCGAACTTGGTTTCCCCGTCGAGCTCAATGTCTTTGCAGGAGAAACTGAAGTTACCTGTCTTCGAATCAACGGATTCTGTTGGTTACCCAAACAACGGCATTGCCAGAGTTGCCAAAGGCAGAACGACGAAGGGTAGAAGTAGATGCATGCTATGTGTATGTATCTTTGAGTGAACTGATGGTAGTGAGTTTGATGCTCTGTATGCTTCCCAAAGGGCATCTATAGGACCTATTTATAGTATTTTCATTGTATTGCTGTTGGAGTGGACATTGTGTCTGATAAGCGGCTTGAATACTTTTTTTTTTTTTTCATAAGATGTCACACTCCCTACATCCTGATGCCCTATCATTGTTGGGCAAACTGGCCAACGCTACACGAGCACTGAGACTATGCCTTTAATTTAAATCTTTAGACCAGAGGAAACCTCTTCCGCTGCGATGATAGAATTGCCAAGCTCTCCGGTGTGCAGGAACTTAGAAGGCGTAAAATTTTCTTGCAAAGACTTCCCAGATTCGAGGTATGAAGGCGGCGGGCAATGAAGAACTCAATCTCAAGATTTCCATATTAGCGAAAACGGGCGAAACAATTGGAAGTTAACCCGGACACAAATGGGGTAGGATCACAAAGAGATGGTCTTCTAAATTCTGCCAACTTCTCCTTCCGGGTAACTTCTCCCCAAAGTTGTTCAAATAAGCGATATATGATCACGCCTAGCCGGATATGTAGTCTTCCCATTAGGTTCTAGACGCACCGTGCTAATTATGGTAGCAGTTCTATTTTGGAGTAACTGAGATTGTCTTTGAAAGAACAATGTTTGTGCATTTTTAGACACTAACTATTTTGAGCGAGTCATCTTCAAGTGTTGTGTTCCGTGTGAAGTTTTAGTGTATTCATGTTCTGTGGTTAATACGATTAGTTTGATTTCTCGTGATCCTGTGCCCTATTACCCTAATCGGTACATACGCAGTAGATTTATTTTATAATGAATGTTCCGGTTTTGACCGAGCGCCGTCTCTCTGAGGGGCGGTGGAAAAAGCTCCTTAATTAATGTGGCGGTGTGCATTTAATTTTACTAAGATTTGTTCCACGGTTGGTAACCACAGTTTACTCCGTTGCCTGATCTATCATCCAACCGGTACAGGACTGAACGATGAGGATTGGGGAAGACGCACTTAATTCTTTGAGTCTCTGTATTGGTCACTGCAAGGGTCTAGATACTACTTAGGTGATCCTTCACCACATCAATTATAAGCCAGATCCAGACCACACGCTTAATGTGAAACATATGTTGCGGTTGATCTATTATTGGAAGAAGTAACCTGGAACTTGTAAGACACCCGGCTTATTATGGGTGCTGTGAAATTGTGTGGATTTCATCCGACCCATTCCAGAAGCTTGCCAGTCCCACTCGAATCTAGGTGCCTCTATACCATTCACCCAATGGTTTCCGCCTAAGCGAGGCCAGTCCAAAGTCGTCAGCCTTGTCTTCGACCTGATGATAGAGCTCAGCCATCATACTGTTGACTTGATCCTGAAATTGCACAGATGCTCGCATGATATGCTGACTTGGCTCTCGTTCCTATGCAACTAGTCAATACGTTTGTGTGTATGTGAGATAGAGAGAGAGAGAGAGAGCCCAAAGGGCCGTGAAAGACTTACTTTACCGGCGGGCTCCAAGCGGCCGCCATGTGGATCTAACACATTATCTTGTCCGCCATGCTCCTTTGGACTCGTAGACACCACCAAGTCTGGTTCTACAATAAGCTCTCCTTCGCATTGACTGTTAATAAGACCTCGCAGCGCTGCGTCAGCTTCTCGGTACAACATAGCGCCAATTCGATCCATCTCTTCTTTAGAGAACATCAAGGCGTTAGGCTCTGCCGCGCCATCCTCGATCTGAAAATAACGAAATGAAGCGGTTATCAGTCCCTGCTGGAATTTTCTCTATCGATTGCACATACCTGTGTGGCAGGCAGTGGAGGCCGAATTGCGGCATCACCGTTGGATGTGCCTTTGCGGCTGTGTGTGAATGACGCGTCATGCGGATCACGTTCAGTGCTGGCAGGCAAGTTGCACACCTTATACATATCATATTCATTGCCTTTTTTGTTTCTACCAATAATCTCGGGAAGAGGCCTCGAACTTCTTTTACCAGGTCTTGCCCTGATAGTCTTATTTGAAGTTATGTCTAAGGATGCCGCATCGCAAGTTTTATGCGGTAACTCAGCTTCCGATATTTGGGATTCGGTATCAGAGCCCTTGTTATGGTGAACTGTAAGTCCAGCCTGTTCGCCATGTGATGGAACAGACGTGTCGATCTTACTACCTTCTGTAGTCTTAAGGGTCTTCCTTGCAGGTTCTGTCATTGGGCTTGCTTGCAAACTGGTGTTCTCAGCTAAACATGTGATGGTAAGGCAATTAGGAGACTGGGCCGAGCCTTCGGATTGTCTGGGTACTATCGTCTTCTCTCGAGGCTCGACGTTGGCATCAGCGCTTCCTGATTTGGACAGGGTTTGGGCATGTCCTGTGTTGTCTATCAATCACCTTGTTTAGCATGTTTCAGTCACACACATCGGAAGGAGGGAGGGGTGTGCTTTCAGGTACCAGTTGTGTTCCCCTCTCCTGGGTAGGAGCTGTGATCGGCCAGAATTCTGTGTGCTGAGAAAACTGCAGGAAGAGTCACATCAGAGATATTTGTTTCTTGTGGGTCATAACACAGGGAGTGTTCTGAGATGGTGTGATCTTCAGAGGTCACAAAGAACTGTTTCACCCTTTCCCATGCTGTGTTGATGGAGTTTTCCCATCGCGATAGGGACTTTCTTGATAAGGCCGAGAACAGAGAGTGTGCCCTCAGTGAATGATACAGCGGTTCGGCACAGCATGCCACTAGTGGCTTGACAGGAGATTGCCAGTGAATGCCTTTTGACAATGACCCTAACCCAAGATAATCAGTGCTAACAAAGGATTGGTAATCCTTGAATGCGATTAGCGGATCTGGTCTCTCCACAGCTGCACTAGTTAGTGATGATGATTGGTTTTTATAGGTCATACCGCCCCATTGTGATTCTTCAGATGGAGATAAGCTATGCGCCTCAATGGATGGGGACACAGAGAAAAAACGGCGGTTTCGTTGCCAGCTTTCCTGTGATGGGCTTTCGCTGAACAGTGAATGCAAGTCTTTATCGCAGCTGGATCCATCAGAGTGTGCATATGGAGAGAAGCTATTCGAGTCTACAGATGCACTCTCGTTGTTCTCACTGTCGCTCTGATCGGTATCTTGCTCCTGCCGTTCAACGAACCGGGTATGCCGCAGGAGCAATCTTTCTAGACAATCGTGGACATCACTCTCCTCGAGTGTAACACGGGTGGGTTTATATCGAATCATAATGTCTGAGGATACCGTGGATATAATATTCCTTTCAATGCGAGCAGCCCCGTCAATCAACGATGAGAGGATGGTGTAATTGGATATGGTAAATTATAAGGAATCCTTTCTATATATTGAAGCCAATGGGCACTGTTAGGGAATAAATTGTTGCAAGTCACAGCTATGGAGATTACACGTGTTGAATCTTCAAGGCAAGTGCGATGGTGAATCTGTATACAGTACAGTATGCTCCTAGTATGTATGCCTTACAAAGAATGATTCAGTATTCTACTAGGTGTATTTTTGTCGCATTCCCAATCTAAGTGATAGTTTCTCGTATTCGTCACCCCTAATTTTTTCGTATTCATCTTTCTTCGAGTCACGATGACCTTAGTGCAGACTACAACCATGGGATAGGTATATATATAAGTCGTGGAAGTGGAGCCGTGGCTGTACCCTGTAGAGGTAGTCAGTTGGTGGGATAGTATTTTGATGAGTTTTATTTTAGTTATTTAAAATAAGTTTAATAATAATAATAATAATATGATCAAAAGAACATGTGTTTATTTAACCAAACAAATGACAAAGCCGAGGTCAAGAGGGCCTGTAGGACCAATCTAAATTACTTGAACAGAAAAGAAGAGAAAAAATCAAATCAACTCACAAAGAAAATAGAATTACGTCGGATGATGGATCTTCGGACACTGCCAGCTTGTCTCCAGGCAGTCACTTATTTACTACTACTTTATTTACATACTAGTACTGGAAAAGCTATGGATGCGATGCTAATAATAAACTGATTTCCCAAAGGAGGACATCCTGAGAACCTCAGGCTGCCAACCTTCAGCCTCTTTCTTGAACCTCCTCTTTTTTACCTCCTGTTCTCACCCCTCGTTCATCTCTATAGTTCTTTTTTTTCCCCGTTTCTTTTCTTGTCTTTTTTTTTTTTTTTTTTTTTTTTTTTTTTTTTTTTTTTTTTTTTTTTTTTTTTTTTTTTTTTTTTTTTTCTTTTTTTTTTTTTTTTTTTTTTTTTTTTTTTTTTTAAACTTCCCCCCTTCTCCATTCGCAATCCGATCGTTTCGTTTCGTTTCTGTTGCTGACTCTTTTATTTCTCTTGACTTTTATTCTGGATTTGAAAGACAGTTCAGGATAGAAGTTTTATACTCACGACTGTTGTTCTTGTATCATGTATCATCCGCAACTCCCCCGACCGCCGCCATAGTCCGTCGGCCACCCCTCTCTATATTCACGGGCGGCTCTCTACCCTATTATTCTCTCTCTTTTACACTCCATTTCTTGACCACCACCATTTTCCCTCATCCTCATCCTCCTTTCTGCTCTCCATTCCCTTTTATTTCCCTCACCTTCTCGGGTATTACGGCGTGGTGGGTTCTCTGGTTATAACCCGCGCCCAAAAACCCGTCCGTCTTCCCTCCCCTCCCCCCCCCGTATCTCTTTTTCCGTCCCCCTTTCGACCTCCACCGTGATCTCTCCATAACCACCTGTGCCCATCATGGATGGGGATCTCAGCCTGTCCCAAGCATTGGGAGGCCTACGGATTGCAAACCCGGATGATTCGTCGTTACATTCGTCCGAGGATGCGACCACTCCCGCCCCGACTGCTGCTTTTGAACCACCAGCAGATTCCGAACCTATGCGCGAATCGACTCGGTCCGAACAACTAGACAACCCTCTGTCGACAACACCACCCCAGCCATCGATATCACCCTCCACGGAATATCCTCACGATGCTTCGACTACAATCGAGCCGTTCCCTAAGCCAACGGAGAGTCGAAGTTCAACATATCTTCCTCAGCCCGATTCACCGCAGCAGCCTGCCCAACAATCTCCCGCTTATATCTCCCAACAACCATACCCTCAGCCATCACAACAAAACCGCTCTTTGGGCTCCTCTCGTCCTTTGTCGGGCCTCTACGCGTATGCGAATGGGTCTACGTCGACATTAGCGGCCCGGGAGGGTTCCTATCGGATTCGTACTGACTCCGCTGCATCGTCCGCTTCCGAAAGCCTGGCCCGGGCGGAATCCCGTGGTGGTTCAGCAGCTTACCAGGCAGGAGTGCCGGTACGCGATAATAGTCACAGTGATCGGTCATATCGAACAGCGCAGCTACCGTTGGGCAATGGGCCCATGGTGATGCGCCAGCCGTCCCGTGCTCGCGCGCGCCCGTCAGGGGCTCCACAGCTCGCCGGGCCCCCATATGGGGCGGAAAATGGCCAATCTTCGAACGGCGAGGACTGGCATGACCGAGGTGCCGCTGTTGCGGTGAGGCAAGAGATCGATGCCAACGGGAAGCCCGTTGCTCGTTACATCAAGAAGGGTGTCCGCGACTTTTCGTTCGGAAGCACATTGGGGGAAGGCTCCTACAGCACTGTTGTACTCGGGACAGATCGTCAAACGCTCAAGGAATACGCCATCAAGATCTTGGACAAAAGGCATATCATCAAAGAGAAGAAGGTGAAATATGTGAATATCGAGAAGGATACCCTCAATCGGCTTACCGAACATCCCGGCATCGTCCGACTTTATTATACCTTCCAAGATGAACGTTCGTTGTATTTTGTGCTGGATCTTTGCAAGGGTGGTGAATTGTTGGGGGTGTTGAAACGTATGACTACTTTCGACGAAGAGTGCACGAGGTTCTACGGGGCTCAGATTCTAGACACTATAGACTACATGCATAAGCGGGGCGTTATTCATCGCGATCTGAAGCCGGAGAACGTTCTCCTTGACAGCCAGATGCACATCAAGATAACAGATTTCGGTACGGCAAAGATTCTCAAGGGCCAGCGCAAACCAGATTCGAGCACGAGTGGGATGCCGCCATTGGAGTCGACAGACATCCCCGAAGAAGAGCGTGCAAGCTCCTTTGTTGGTACGGCTGAGTATGTCAGCCCCGAACTATTAACGGACAAGAATGCGTGCAAGGCAAGTGACCTGTGGGCATTCGGCTGCATCATTTATCAACTCTTGGCTGGTCGGCCCCCATTCAAAGCAGCGAACGAGTACCTGACTTTCCAAAAAATCGTCGGACTCGAGTATGAATTTCCTCTGGGCTTCCCTGCTGTTGCCCGTGACCTCGTCGAGCGTCTCCTTGTATTGGACCCGACTCGTCGGCTGCCAATCGAACACATCAAGAACCACGAGTTTTTCCGGGGGATGACCTGGGGCCCGGACTTGTGGAAACAAAAAGCGCCCCGTCTCAAAGCTTATGTCCCTCCACCCCGCGAGCCGATAAAGTTGAACGGAGCTGGTGAAGGGGACGCCTTTTCTGCGGGTATCAATGCAGGACCATCAAGTACCAACAATGCCAATCCCAGAGTTGTCCCCAGGCTTGTCACGGAATTGCCACCTCCAAGCCAGCTTGATATTGAGTGGTCGCCGGTGCTTACTAAAAGCAATGAAAGGATATTGAAGTTGGGAAACGTCTTGGTATTGTCTTCGCCAGCTGTGCATAGCCCTTCCACCAAGAGTGGGGCCGGTGAGAGCGAAGCGCCGAAAAAGTTCTCCCGCTTCTTCGGGGGAAGCACAACGAAGAAGCGGCAGAGGCTGGTCATGGTCACCTCCTCTGCACGTATTATCATGGCTGCGGCTGGTGGGGATGAGAAAAAGGCAAAACTGGAGGTCTCCCTGCTATCTCCAGGAACACACTGGCGCGCCTCGACGGATTCGAAAGGTTTCTCTTGCTGGGTTGTTGACACGGTATGCTTATATTTACATGTGACATAGGCGAACTAATGCTAACCTGCGTGTGTAGCGTGACAAACATTACGTTTTCGAAGACCCTAAACCCTCATCTGGCAACGGTGGCGCAACTGCTGCCAACGCGCAGGAATGGGTGGATTCTCTGGATCGTGCACGAGAGATGGCTTTGACCCAGCAAGCGAATGGGACATACTCGGGTGACGAGGCTTTCCGTGACATATCGTCCGGGCTGTCGAGCCATGCCAACACGTTGGACCACAGTTCTGAGGTTCACCACGAGAACCCACCTGGACGAGCCACTCTAGTTAAGCAGCAGCCTACAGATTCGGATTCCGTCAAAGGGAAAAAACGGTTCAGTAGACGTCATTCAAAGAACGGACTGGCAGCTGTTTTCTAGACAACATGCCCGAGAGAACTTACACAAGGCCTCCCTCGGCCCCAGCCCCAGGTTGGATTTTTCCAACCAATGTCTGAGCGTCACATTTATGTAACATCTCCCGCGTCTGACATCGGGGTTGGTTACTGCGCAGGATCGCAACTCTTAAAATTTCTTTCTCTGGTCCCGGACTATATCACAGCTTCTTTGCTTCTACCTGATGTCTCCGGGATGATGTGACTTGTATACTTTCTATTGTTGACAGGTCTTGGAGTATCGCTGATATGGACACTCAACCAGCCACTGTTGTTTCCTTTGTCGTGCATTTGCAGCAATTTCTTTTGTGATGTGATTTTCCATTTTGCCTTGCATCTTTGCAATGATGAGCGTGTTTCTCTTCTTAAGATCGCTGCATTTAGATGGGCAGGAGTACGTATATATCCCTCATCTGGCATCTATTTTTCTCGCTTTGTATTGCCTGGCTTCTTCTGTTTACCTTCTCCCTTCCTTTTTCCAACATCATTCTCTCCTCTACATATTGAGATATATATCTTCGCTTGGTCGAAACAGACGATCCACAAAGCCTTGTCGGAAAATGCTTTGTTGGTGTACAGAGTTCAATACAGAAAACAATCAGGATAGCCCCCTTTTTCCGGCTCCGACAGATCCTTATCTACCCATTCCTGCTTCAGGTTCCGTTTGCTATTATACCATTCGGTTTGTTCCACTGAGCGGATTGTTTTTTTCTTTTTTTGTTTTCTTTCCATAGGAGCTGAATTGATTCCCCTACTATGCGTCTCTCCACCCTGCCAGATTCCCCATCTCCATGTTCCCTTCGTTCTTCTCGATTTCACCCAGATGCATTTCCGTTCTTGTTAAATAATTTTTCCCCCTTTCAATGGTATTTCATATAGTCAAATTCAAATCTTCCATTCTGGTTGGATATATTTGTTATTTCCCACTACTTGTCTGTGGACTTGCCTCTATATATCTCTGGGACTACTTGTGAAAAATCAATTATCTGACTAATTATGATGTTATATTTAAACAATTTGTATTTCTTTCACTGTTCAAGACGACAAAAGGGATATCTAACCAAAAATAATTTGCAATATGT